CCCGTCCCTGGGGTTCTCCAGGCAAGAATACTGGAGTGGGTTGCCATTTCCTTCTCCAATGCATGAAAGTAAAAAGTGAAAGTGAAGTCGCTCAGTCGTGTCCGACTCCGTGCAACCCCATGGACTGCAGCCTACCAGGCTTCTCCGTCCATGGGATTTTTGAGGCAAGAGTACTGGAGTGGGATGCCATTGCCTTCTCCCCTGCCCTCTGTGAGCACCCCTCAAACAATGACGCCTGGCCTCTAAGGCAGTGGGACTTCCTCCACGCACACCCTCAGTTGTGGTTGCAGTCAGGTTCCAGCCAGCCTAGGCTGTTTTTGCATGGCCATCCCCAGTCCTCTCCCTGGTCTGATGTCTGACGCCTGAGTTTCAGCACCCAGCCCCATCCTGCACCTGTGGGTGTGCGTCTCAGGCCGGGGCGTGCAGGACGGCGCCGCCGCCTGCCTGTGCAGTGCCCCTCTGCTCTGGCTGCTTCATGCTCCTCTGAGGCTCTGAAGCTCCCCTCCATCCTGGCCGACCTCCCTGCTGGTGAGGGGGCTTCCCAGGATGAGGAGCCTTTCCTCTCTCACAGCCCCCTCCTCGGGCTCAGGTCCCATCCTGATCCCTTCTCACTTTCTTTTTTCCTACCTGCTTACGTGGAGATTTTATTGCTCTTTCGGTGGTCTGAGGTCTTCCAGCAGCATACAGTAGGTATTCTATGAGACTTGTTCCACACGTAGAAGAAATTTTTGATGTATCTGTGAGAGAAGTTAAGCTTCACATCCTACTACTCCACCGTCTTGATCACTCTCCTGCAGTTAGTTTTTATGAGTAAAGGAGGAACTAAAGTAGGGGTTTTTCTTTGGGTCAGATACTGTTCCAGTATATTCAGTATTCCATTATTTCAGTTTTCAGTTTGTTTGCATATGAATCATTATCTTGACTTTGACTTGTTATGGTCCTATGACCTTCCTAGCCACTCACTACACTGTTGATCTGCTTTCCACAAAGGCCTGGTTTCAGGCTTTGGGTCCTTACTCTGGATCTGAGATCAAGAGAGGCCTGTGAGCCTTAGAGAAGGAGCTTATGGTTACCAGGGGAAATGATGGGGGGAAGGTTAGTTAGGAAACTTGGGATGGACATGTACACACTGCTGTATTTAAAATGGATAACCAGCAAGGTTCTTCTTTATAGCACATGGAACTCTGCTCAATTTTATGTGGCAACCTGGATGGGATGGGGGTTTGGAAGAGAATGGATACATGTGCATGCATTGCTGAGTCCTTTGCTATCCACCTGAAACTCACAACACTGTTAATTGGCTTTACCCCAAAACAAAACAAGGGGTTAAAAAAGAAAGACCTGTGAAAATCAGTCCCCAAATCTTCCCTCTCTGGGCCCTGGCTGGATGCTGCCCACCCTCTGTGAGGAGCATTGAGTGATGGTGGGGTTTGGAGGGGCTGGGTCCCCACCACTGCTGCTCTGGACCCTCACACTGAGCCCTACGTGACCACAGAACCTCATGCATGCCAGGATCGGCATCCAGGGACCAGCGTCTGAGCCTTGCTGTTAATGGGAGAATTAACATGCCAAAAAACAAACGCAGTTTTTCTCTTAAGAAAGAAAAACAGCATACATCTCAGTGTTAGTTGGTGTAAAGAAAAACCTGTAAGATTATAAATCACACTGTTGAAGTAACTGTATATGGGAAGTGGTGACGAAGACGCTGCCTTTGACCCAGCTGTAGTCAGTCGCCTCTGAGTCTGTGCTTGGGTGTGGCCTCAGAGACAGGCCCATGTGTAGCTAGATGTCAAGGAGGTTTAGCCAGACCCCCTCCCTCGATGTCTCATCACCCTTGTTACCTGTCGGACTCCTCACCCTCCACCATCCCCCGGGTAGTGTCTGGTCACCCTGATCTGCCCTGAGACCTCTTAGGTCAGTTTGGCCGGAACCACCCCTTTACCCTGATGTTTCCTCTTAGTGGTTTGCTATCCAGTGACCCCCACCTCCATCTGCTTCTTTGCTATAAATTCCCACTTTTCCTTGTGTCTTTGGAGTGCAGTTTCTCCCCTTCAGCGGTGGCCCCTACACCTGTCGTGATCATCCTAAATAACACCTTTTTTATTTTTGGCCATGCCTTGAGGCTCATGGGATCTGTGGAAGCACTGGGTCCTAACCACCAGACCACTAGGGAAGTCTCTGTCTTACTGTCCTCACAGGTGTCATGAATAATTATTTCTTTTAACAGAAAGAACAGCTATGATTTTCAGTCTCTAAATTATATGTCCTTACAATATTTGCATTTTTCACATAGATTGGTGTTATTTTTTTTTTAAGTAGCTTTCTTGTGGTATAATAACACACCTGTGTAAGTGTACAATTTACTTAAAGTTTTAGTGCTTTCACAGAGTTGTGCAGCCACCACCACAACCCAGTTTTAAAAAGTCTGTCGTTTCAGACAGTCCCACCCCTAAAAGTTCCCTCATGCTCATCCCCAGTCAGTCTTTACTCGCATCTCTATCTGCCACCCGTCTGTCTGAATGGATTTGTCTTCCCTGGAAATTCCCAATACATGAAATTGAACAGTATATATGGCCTTTTGTGTCTGGCTTCTTTCACTGAATGATATTTCTTTTCTCCCTCCCCTTTATTTATATTTTACTGGAATGTAATTGATTTACAATTTGTGTTTCAGGTGTACAGCCAAGTGATCCAGTTATACATATAGATATATTCACTTTTTTCAGATTCTTTTCCCATATAGGTTATCACAGAATATTGAGTAGAGTTCCTTGTGCTATGCAGTAGGTCCTTGTTGTTTATTTTATATACAGAAATTTGTGTCTGCAAATGCCAAACTCCTGCTTTTTACCCTCCATCTCATTTTTCCCTTTGGCAGCCAGTGTTTATTTTAGATATTTGTAAGTCTGTTTCTGTTTTGTATGTGTTTATTTGTATCATTTTTAGAAAACTAGATTTCACACATGAGTGATATATGATACTCTCTTTCTCTCCCTGGTTTACAGTATGACAATCTTTAACTAGAATCTGGTAATAGAAACTCCCACCACTGTTGTCAGGATGTCACCAATGGAACACATTTACACAAAGCTTATTTTTCTCCCTTGTATCATTCTCTCATGATTCAAAATCCCGGGGGACAGTCTAATCTGCCTGGCTTGAATCTCATGATGATAACCTGGCTGAAAGAAGGCGTGCATGCATGCTAGGCTGGACCGGGTCCTACCCTTCAATCAGGATGTTCACCAGGTGTTTCAGAATCACCCTGAAGGAATGTGGGCTATGGTCCAGGGCAAGTATGAGATGTTTGATACGCGTTGAATGGGCTTCCCTGGTTTTAGGTCCATCCATGTTGCTGCAAATGGCATTATTTCATTCTTTTTTATGGTTGAGTGGTCCTCCATTGTATGTACTATACCACATCTTCTTTATATCCATTCCTCTGTTGATGGATATTTAGGCTTTCTTCCATGTCTTGGCTATTGTAAACCGTGCTGCAGTGACCACTGGGGTGGCTGTGTCTTTTCAGATTATGGTTTTCTCTGGATATATGCCTAGGAGTGGGATTGCTGGTTCATATGGCAACTAGTTTTTTTTTAAGGAACCTCCAATACTGTTTCTGTAGTTGTTGTACCAACTTAGATTCCCATCAGCAGTCTAAAAGGGTTTCCTTTTCTCCACAGCCCCTCTAGCATTTATTGTTTGTAGACTTTTTGATGATGACCAGTTCGCAGCGATACCTGAGTCTGGTTTTTATTTGGTTTTCTCTGATCATTAGTGATGTTGGACATCCTTTCATGTGCTTTTGGCCATCTGTATGTCATCTTTGGAGAAACGTGTATTTATATCTCCTGCCATTTTTTGATTGGGTTGTTTGTTTTTCTGACATAGAGCTGCATAAGCTGTTTGTCTATTTTGGAGATTAATCCCTTATCAGTTGTTTCATTTGCAAATATTTTCTCCCATTCTGTGAGTTGTATTTTTGTTAATTTGTGCTGTACAGTAAAGTGATTCAGTTATTCACACATATAATCCATTTTGGTTTATCACAGGATGTTGAATATAGTTCCTTGTGCTATAGGACCTTGCTGTTTATTCCTTCTATATTGCATCTGCTAATCCCAGACTCTCAGTTCTTAAATGGCATTTCTGAGGTCCAGGTGTGTTGCAGTGTTGACCAGTATCTTGTTACCTTTCCTGTTGGATAGTATTCCATTGTGTGAATCTACCACATTTTCTTTATCCACTTCTTAGTCAATGGACCGGTGGGTTGTTCGCAGGTTTGGGTTATTATGAACGATGCTGCCATGATCATTCATGTACAAGTCACTGTGTAGACAGGGTGTTACGTTATATTCAGAAGGAAACAAAGAAGTGAAGGGCCAAAACAGATCCTCAAGATGTTTCTGGAATGCATCCCCTTTTACGAGAATGGAGCTCAGGCACAGGAGGGGCTGGAATAAGGAGAGAACCAAGAGGGGTTCTTGGTGGCCTTTCTGACCCTGACACGGCCCAGGAAGAACACGTCGGGGCGAGGGTTCCTCACCTCTGGAGCCCGCTTGTACTCCTGAAGTTCCCCCACAGCCTCAGGACACTTGTGACAACTTGTCTCCGCCCAGACATCCATTCCCCTCTGTTAAAGTCCTTTAGTTCAAAAGCAGCAAATGAAGAAAACACCAGCTATTCCCCAGATGGTTCACTGGGGACTGTGGTGCTGGAGGAGGGGTGCAGCCCCACTGGCTGAGGTGTTGAGACTCAGCATGTCATGTGTTCAGGCAGGGTCCCTTCCCAGGACGCAAAGGTCACGCCCTGCTATCACAAAACCACATGAGAGAGGAGGATCTAGTTCTGCAGGCTGGGGAGAGATTTGGGGAAACAACTCAGGAAAAAGAGGCAAAAGGCAAATGTGAAACCAAGACAGGTGCCCTGTTTGTGGATAAGAGGTGAGAGGCAGACACAGTGCTGGGGATAGAGCTTAGTACACGTGGGTATAAAGAGTTTTAGAGAATTTGGGAAAATCTAGGGTAATGGGTATTGCTGATGACTGTATCATCCATCACACCTACAGCAGGCTCTCCACCCAAAGGGCTTATTGCAGCATGCTTCTCTGCTCCTTTTTGCTGACTTTCCATGGGACACAGTCTGAACCCCTCTCTCAACTTTTCCATGTTTTTTTTTTGAAGGTCTTCCTGGGTTGAACCTGTCATTTCTAGATGTGTGACCACGTTCCTTAATTTTAACTCTGTTGCTTTCCTAAGTCCACCTCCATGAGGGTAACATTGATAGCCTTGGTAAGAATCAGTCATAGGAGGTAGGCAGTTACAGTGCTGATTTGAAGAGGAGACGGAGGTGGGACAGTTCTGTGATGACCCAGTGTCACACAGTCATCAAGTGGTGGGGCCAGGAGCAGGTACAGACCCCTGACCTAGTGCTGTCCTGTGGGACAGGGGGCTCACGGTCAGTGATGGGAGTTTAAAAAAATCATGGGATTGATATGTGAACTATTGATAAGACCAAAGTGGGGGTGGTGGTAACAACTCATAGCAGGATATGTGGTCTTTGTTCAAAACTATGGATTTGGGGTTAGTTTATTGCAGTTGATTTACAATGTTGTTTCAGTTTCAGGTCTACAGCAAGGTGATTAAGTTACACTTACATTCTTTTTTAGATTCTTTTCCCTTGGACCCTGGATTTTAGAACATAAAAGCCGGTGAGTTTTTAATGTTTTTCTAACTACTTTATATATGCAGTATTTTTTAAAAGGCACTGAGCTCTTGAATTTGAAACACAGCTATAGTTGAGGATAAAGAGCTTCTGTTGAATGATGACTTGCAAAAATGTCTTCAACTCATTTTATGGGCTGAATATCTGTCTGTTTAGTTGTATAACCTTGTATTCCATCTTGCCCTGAGCTGCATTAAAAGTTACAGCAGTTAATACTGAATGGTGAAATATTGGTACAAGGTTAACATTTACAAAAAAATGTTTTTCAGACAGGAACTCAATGTGAACCAATCAGTTCATAGTTTTGTTTATTCTGAAGCTTTTATTTTGGAGTCCTCCGTCGCCAAATGACATGTATAATGTTTACAACAGGTATTAGAAATAGAGTTCTTTGTTTTTGAAATTTCTACTATTTTAGAGTAAAATTGTAGATACTGTTCCAAACCATCATCAAAAAATGCAGAGCAAACTTTTCTGTATATAAACTGTACATAAAACAAGGCACTATACATTTGGGGGCAATATTAAGGTAGAAAGGTGGATTCGCACAGATTCTTAAGAGCCTTTTGTTCATCTTAGCACCGGAAGCAGCACTCAGAACGAGCCAGACTTCACACCAAAGGAGACGCTTCTGAACATGGGTGAAAGTACACATAGGTGGCAGAACTAATTCAACAGAAGCAACTACCTTTTAATATTGACACCAAAAAAAAAAAATCTTAAAAGTGAATGAATACATATTGCTTTGTTAAATACATATTTGATTTATACGGTGTTTATATAAATATATATATATTTTAGAATCCACAAACTATCAAAATAACACTTTATAAAGAGAACTGCTTCAAAAAAATAGGCAATGCTTAGCTGGAGTGGGAGGGCAGTGCCGTGGCCGCCGCTGAGGACCTGCTGTGTAAGTGCATGTAGGGCCACGGATATCTCACAAACATCACCTGCTGAAGTGTGGAAAGCGTGTCCCCAGAGAGTTCTCTGGAACATTTACAAAATACACAACTCCCAAACGAGCAGGAGAGCTGGTCACTTCAGGTTTTAAAAATGCGGATGAAAAAACATATTTTAAAATACCAGGCTCCCCCACTAAAACATCCATTTTCCTGGTCCATCAGTATTGAAAGTGACCACCCAGGTTCCTCCAGCATCTCATGACTCAGAACAGACCTTTTGCTTTCTTCAGGTTCACCTGCTTCCAAGCGGGCAGTGCATTGTACTCGTCTCGGGTCATGTCTAGTGCAAACTGGGAGGAGAGAAAGAAATGCCCAGCGGCTGAGTGAACGGACCCTCCGACAAGCCATGTGCAGTCCCTCAAATGCAGTCCCACCCAGAAGAAACGCTTACCTCGAAGTCCTCGTCGGTGAGATAGATCTCCAGCTTCAGAGGGTCAACTCCCTCAGGGAGTGGCCTGGCTAGGAGGTCGGCCAGCGGGTAAATGGTCTTACACAGTTTGGCTAAGACATCCTCCACTAGAGTGATCTGATTTGAAACTTCCGTGTCCTGGAGAAGAAGAGGGAGCCGAGAGGGGCACCTCCATGTCTGAACACATTTCGTCATGTGCTGTGAATTATATCACCTGGCCCATTCCCACCCCAGCCTAGCCTGAGATGCCATCTTATCCCCGCCATGGGTTTTCATATACATCAACTATCACATGAGTGAATTATAAAGATGATGATTACATGTGAAGCTAAGACATCAGAAGCATGCAAATAATGGAATGTGCTTACAAATATATAAAAGTGATTAACCTTAAAAAGAATCACCCTCCCCTCTATACCTCAGATCCCATCTCCTAATTCTCAATAGAAAAAGGTAAGAAAATGCATCTAGAATGTGCTGGGGCTGAATGGAGTTTTTTTTTTAACCCCCTCCAGGGGTCTGCAGAGAACACAGGATGGCACTGATTGATGTCCTTGAACCTGCAGAGCTTCGAGGTGTCCTGGGTCACACATTTGTCATGCACAGAAACAGCTCACCATGGCTGTTGGCTCCCAGGAAGCCTGAGAGCCCACCTGTGAAGATCAAGTCCACCGGGCTCCAGAGAGCTTAGGATCAGCAGTGGAGATCAAACAGGCCCTCTCCGTGGTCAAGCAGCAGCGCACTTTTGCAGTTTGTTTAAAGTTATCCAGACCTCCTATCAAATACCCCCGTGTCATCTCCCCCAGGTAAGCAGCCCTGTGTCTGCACAGCAAGAAAATCCCACTGGACAAACCTATCTCCCACCAAATCAAAAACTTCCTTGGGTTGCTATGTGAGCAGTGTTCAAACCCATACATTAAGAAATTCTACAGAGCTGTGCTAAGCTTCCTCTTCTCAGTGCAGCTGGAAAGGAGAACATGCTGGCTAATAATGTGTTTTGGTGAATAGGGATTATGATAAATGCCTCGTGGAGATAAAGGATGGCAGGAAAGAGGAGTCGAGGCATCCTGCATCAGGACAGGCTTACACCACCTTCACTCCCTGCATTACCTGAGCAGGTGAGCTCATCACAGTTATTCCATGTCTCCTTGGACCCAAGGTTGAGGTCTGAGACAGGGGGCTGTTCTGTGGCTTTATATGGACTTAAAGAGGCAATGGATCTCTCACAGGCAGAAGAGATGGCTGCTTTTATTTGTGTGTCCTCTGCAAAGTCATTAAGTTCACCTTTGCTTTCTGTTTGGACCTGAGCATGGTGTGTAGAAAGTTACCCAGTTATTTCCATTGACTTCTCCTTAGGCGTCTCTTCTCCCTATGCTGATTCTGCATGGACTGGTCAACACGTGAACAAGGAATCACATTTTCAGATGAAAACGCAGTTGGCCTTTTCTCCCCAGGGGAAGCCACCCCACAGGCTGGAAGGCAGGGAGCCCCGGGAGGGGGAGGAGGGTGCTCACCATCTCCGTGATTTCCGCAATGTCTTCTCTGTGCTCCCAGCTGGGGAACATGTTGGTGAAGGTCAAGGGTTCCAGGCCAGCGTGGATGAGGTAAGACTTGGGGGGCGGCTTCTTCAGGTTTTTCCCTGCAGTCACACAGAAGGCAGACGTCACAGACCTGGTGTGGCCTTGAAGGCCCTGTCTTTCTCGGATTTCCCCTGAAATCTTTTGTTTGCTTCCTTGACTTCAGGCTTAAAATGCAAGTTATGAGTAGTTGACAACCCCGCCTGGAGGATGTTTACCTAAGATGTTTAACTTTATGCATATAAGTATGCATACAGTTGCCTGGATGTGACCTGAGTTTAAGGTTCCTGACCCAGCGTCAAGTTCAGTGAGAAATAACCAGCTCATGACAGCAGTTTAGAAGCTGCTTTAGCTTAAATGTTTGGTGGGAAATTTAGTTACTATGAAAGAATTTCTCAGGAGAAAATTGACTGTACATACTCAGTAATACGAATAAATGAGGTCTTAAGAATTAAGACAAGAAATTAATTACTGGCATCTTCATTTTATATAAAAGACCACCAGTTTCTGGTGGATAGTATAATAGAAAAGCCACGAATTGACTGAACATCTTTCTTTGCAGATGTAACACTAATCACAGGTTGCCATCAGCCTTCCAGCCCATTTGGGGGGCTCTCTCTACTCTCTGACAGGGTCCCTCAGCATGATTAACCCTGAGGGCAAAAGGGTTTTAACCAGGCTAGCCATCCCACAACTCAGCTGTTCATTTCGAGGGTGACAGGTTAATAATACATGGCCTTATAGTATCCTGTTGGCCAAGAAGTTCATTTGGGTTTTTCCATAAGATGTTATGGAAAAACCCAAATGAACTTTCTGATCAGTTCAATAGAAAAGAGATATTCCCTAGTTTGTTGAAATGGGGAGGGACAATATAAGGGGTAGTGGATTAAGAGGTATAAACCATTAGGTATAAAATCTGCTCTCAGGATATATTGTATAACATGAGGAACATAGCTGATGTTTTATAATAACTATAAATGGAGCATAACCTTTAAACATCATGAATCATTATACCATACAGCTGTAGCATATAATATTGTACATTAACTCAACTTCAATTTTAAAAAAGAGAAATGAAATCTCATTCATGTTGGCAGCTTAGAATGTATTAATTTCAAAAGTAATAAGCCTCAAGAAGTTCCGGGGGGGAAAAAGTCAGTTTCATGGCTGACTGCAGGTTTTTTTCCCAGGCTAGTGCCACCCACAGAAAGGGGAGCCTGGCCTGGGTCTTTAAGCAAGGCTGCAGAAAGCCATCAGGGAGTGTGGATGGAGGGTACCCACTGATGGGGGCCTCACCTCGGCAGTACTGCAGCACTGTCTCCATGGCGCTCTTCCGGTCCGAGGCCCAGCGGATGCGCGCGGAGCCCGTGATCTTATTCTCGATGGGCCACCAGCCTTGCCAGAGGTACACCTCATGGTGATTGTCAACAAGGAAAAGTGCTGCGAGGGCAGAGCAGACAGTCAGGGACTCTTCCCCAAGCCTAACCAGTGCCTCCCTCCCTGGCACTATGGTCAGTGGGAGAAGCCCCTTGGCAGGTAAACTCAGGGCCACAGGGAGGGTCCCCCTGATGACGTGGCCTTTGAAGGATGAATCAGGCAAAGCCTGAGGCAGAGCTGACATTGATGAGGTAGGCTCTTTCCTCCTCTCCTCTAATTCCCTGCCTCTCCCCACTCCACAGCTGCTCCTTGGATCCTGGCCAGGTGCCAAGATTGGGATAGATGAGACATGTGACCCCCCAGGGGCTTGTCAGCACCGCTGATCCCCGAGAGCATGTTAAACACTGGGGAGCACGTCACGCTTGCCCTGCCCATGCTTGACCTGCCAAGCAGGTCATCTGAGTCCATGGTTCCTTTAGGGAGGAATGGGCCTTCAGAGATCCTAATGATGTTCCCCTTTTCTCTCCAGCAAACCATCAGCCTGATTCTTCTTTGACGTCGCCAAGGCCTCTCACACCCGTTGGCTCAGCTGACCAGAGTCCTTTCCTGGCTTTCATCTCAGTTCACGACTGAAAAGCCCAGTGAAGGCTGAAAACCCAACCTGAGCCTTAGGATGAAGAGGTGGGTGGCAGCCCTTTCTAAGGACACTAGCTAATATTTCCCCAGTATGACCATGTACACCAGGCAAGCTTTTCAGGTGGTGATGGGGCGGCCAGGGTCCGTGAGGTTCCTGATGCCACTCTAGGCTCTTGTAATGTGAAAGCGGAGACGCCCCAAGGCTGGGACAGCCGACCCCAGACATGACTATCTCTGCAGCCCAGTCCCTGGTGACTGTCCCAACCACAAGAGCACAGAGGCTCTGTCTTGTGGTGGAGGTCATGTGGAAACAGCCCTGACCTTGGGATCAGGAGGCACAGAAGAGAGCCTTGGCCCTGCTCTGCAGCCTGGAATTATACACACTGCTCTGGGGTTCACCCCAAAGATGCTCCCAACCCCTGCTCCTGCGACTCTGGCAAGGTTCCCTTGCAGCTGGGGGTTTCGGGGGAAGTTTTTGCTTTACCTGATAAAAGAGAGAGACTTGGCTATCATTGCAGTTTACCCCACTCTTTCTTTCTCTTTTGAACAGATACATGAGCAAGGGCAGCCAGCCATATGAGAACATGAATCAGGAAGATGGAGGGAGGCTGGGAGAACAGCAGAGACTGATGCCTGACATGGTTGCACTCAACCTGTTCTTAACTGATGAGTTTGGGCGAGTTGAGTAACCGAGGGTCAGTTTTTTATACTATAATACGTGATTGATATCATCTTCCTTTGGTTGGGGGGAGGTATGAGGATTACATGAGCTATAATATAAGAAAGTGTACTTAGCAGATAAAAACTGCTTACTAGATACAAAAGTAAAAAGACTTCTTAGAAGTCTTCTGCTGGCTCAGCATGACTCCCCCCTTCTGTGGGCTGTACCTGGCTGTGGGGCGCTGTATAGGTCTTCCTGCAGGAAGGGCATAGAGTTGACCACAGAGGGGTCTCGGGCAGGATACATGAACTCTGTGGCTGAGAAGTCGCCAGAGGAGCTGCTGAGGATGAACAGGCGGGGTGTGAAGTTAAAATTTCCAGGATCTTTGAAAGAAAAGAGAACAAAAAGCTAAAGACAAAATAAATTCCAGGTGGACTGGAGAATTAATGTCAGACATGAAATGATCAAGCATGAGTGTAAAAAGGGGTACAGTTCATCTGAACTTGGAGGTGGGCAAGGCCTTTTAAATCCTAACTGCATAAGAAGTAATTCAAGAAGAGATTTATGCATTAACAACATAAAAATGAAAAATTACACTGCATTAGAAAGCACCCTCAACCAAACAAAATGAAAAAGCAAGTGACAAAATGGGAACTATGGAAACCTGTTCATGTCCTTAGCAGTAATGTAAAGAAATGTAATAATAATAAAACAATAAATATCTAAAAATGTGCTAAAGGCACAAATAAAATATTCACCCAAACAGAAGTACATGTGGCTAAGAAATACATATAGACAGCATTTAACAGTACTTCTAATTTAGAAACATTAAGTTATAACAGTGTTAGATCATAATTTCTGCCATCAGTGAGGAAAAGTAATAAACCAAGCATGTGACTGTGTTGTGAAATGTACACGTGTAAACTGCTGGTGAGGTGGGCTACAATCAATGGGTAAGAATCGAATTTGGTGCCGGTGTTCTGGGGACACTTGCGGATGCTATTGTAAGACTTCATAATAACTTTACTACAGTTGTTCCAGGTATAGGAATTTACCTTAACTGGAAATAAATGCAGATAATTCTTTTGAAAACTATTTACAACTCGATCGTTGTCAGAGAAAAATTTGAAACAACTCAGTTCTCCAGCTATTAAGTAGAGAGTGGCATATATACTCACAAAATACCTGCAGCCATAAGTCTATAATTAACATAGGCTTTGGGAAATGGTTCATCATAAATTAAGGGAAAAAAGCAGGTTACAAAAGACTGTATAATGGGTGCTATCTACATCTAAATACATATATCTATCACATAAATATATGTTAATTCTGGTTCACACCTATGAAAGACATGATTATTATAAGGATCTTTCTTTGTGTTTTTCAGACATTTCCAACTGTCAGTATGCAGTACAGATAACCCTCGAACAACACAGGTTTGAATTGCACTGGTCCACTTACACATGGAGACTTTTCAATAGATATATTGGAAAAATCTTTTGGAGATTTGTGACAACTTGAAAAACCTGCAGACAAATTGCATAGCCTAGAAATATTGTGAAAAAAGTAATAAAATTTAGGTATGTCATGAATGCATCAGATATATGTAGATACCTACCTTTACATAGGCATAAGGTGAGTGATATTTAATATTAAGATTAATAATGTGTTCATTTTCTTACTGTTCTATAACTTTGTTTTCAAAGAATTACCATGCAGTCTGTGTCTCTCTCGTAACTGGAGAAGTTGTGTATCATTATCATTAGGGGTAAGTAATTTTTATAAAAATGTAACAGTGCTTTCACTAGTTTATTATGACTGAAACACTGCATGCCATAAAAACGTTACAACCATTCATCAGTCTATCAGCGACACTAGGTGGTATAAAGTAATCATATTGCTGCTTTTCTGTTATCAGTGCATGAATCATTATATTGGGCTGACCAAAGAGTTCGTTCAACCCAATATCTGTAAATAAATACAAATTTCTGTTTCACAGTATCTTTTAATTTTTGGTGTCTAGTATTAGTAATACATATAACATCTACAGTATTTTGTATCCACTTATTCAGTATTGATGTAGGTACTGACAAATGATTCATCTCATAAACAGATGATGGAAATTTATAGTATCCTATAGTAAATGTAATTTCCATCCCTTATAATTTTCATTACATTCACTTTTTTTTAAGAATTATATAATACATACAACCTACAAACTGGGTGTTAACTCTTGTGTTCTTGGTAAGGCTTTCAGTGAACAGTTGGCTATGAGTAGTGAAGTTTGGGGGCAGTGACAAGTTATATGTAGGGACTTCCCTGGTGGTCCAGTGGTTAAGACTCTGCCTTGCAATGCAGGGGACACAGATTTAATCCCTGGTTGTGGAACCAAGATCCCACATGCCATGGGGCAGCCAACCCCTGACATGGCCAAATAACAAGTTATATATGGATTTTCAACTGTGTGTGTGTGTGTGTCAGGGGGTGGAGCTTAGCCCCTAACCTCTATGTTGTTCAAGGATCAACTATATTTTAAGAACTTCTGGAAAAGTTTATAAAATCTGAGAGGCAGTACAGTGTGGTCACAAGGACATCCACTGTTGTCCAACCTGGGCTGAGGTGGTTAACCTCCCAAGCCTCAGCTTCCCTGCCCGTGAAACTGGGCAGCTTCTTGGTTGGGCTGTGAGCATGGAGTGAGGGAACGTGTAGCAGGTGGTTAGCCAGGGCCAAGCTCAGCCTAAACTGCTTAGTAATCGTTCACTTTTCTTATGTTGTTCTGTATGTATGTCAACCTGTATTTTGTGTATTCAAAGACAAGACTGACCTACTCTCATTTAAACCCCACTGTTTCCCAGGACAACTTCCCAGGTGGCTCAGTGGTAACGAACCTGCCTGCCAGTGTAGGCACTGTGGGTTTGATCTCTGGGTTGGGAAGATCCCCCGGAGGAGGCAACAGCAACCCACTCAAGTATTCTTGCCTGGAAAAACCCCACTGACAGAGGGTTGCAAAGAGTGAGACGCAACTTGGTGACTAAATCATCACTATTTCTTTGCACCTTGGGCACTGGCTAAACCAAAAGCACCTCATTCCAGAGGCTCATGCTGTGCCCATTTGGTTTCCTGGAATGCTCCTCCCTCCCTCCTTCCCTTCTCTTCAAGTCACAGCTACACATCTGAGGCTCCGAGAAGTGCCCTGTCCTCTTTGGAGCCCGGTGCGACACTTCTTGCAGAAGCATTCTTTATTAACAACTCTACCCTGACACACACAGTATCTACTTGGCATCGTAACTAGTGATAAATGGTATTTAGTTGTCTTGTTGGGTTGTTGGCCCGAGAAGACCTGGCCTTGGGATAACTCCTCGTGTGTTGTGTGGAGCACATGTGCACAAATATTTACATACTGAGGAAGCTGGTGCTCGGAGGCGCCGGATGTGGGCTTACCTTGAAGCATGCAGTCGTAGGCTTTCCGGTCTCTCCTCCCCAGAGCATCCCAGAAGCCCAGGGGCTCCGAGCCTTCATCACACTCGTGGATTGTCACTTTGCTGCTGCTGTGCAGCCCGGCCTCCAGGGGACATCTGCACGGAGAGAGTCCAACAGTTTCTGTCAGGCCCGGAACTGCGGGCAGGACAGAATTATTCCAGACCACAGCTACAGATGGGTTCAGCATCTTTCCTGCTTTCCAACGAAAACGGTCCTTATGATGAACGACAGCCCGCTGCAGTATGTGAGTGGGTTCTCACCTGGGGCTGTCTAGTGTGCTGTCTCTGGGTTGTGGGCCCCTGTGGGTGCCTGCCTGGAAGAGGAAGGGAACCCAGCATGCAGTGTGCCTGCCACGGGGACTCTGGTAATGCACTTGGGCAGCTGTCTCCCAGACACCCTTGTCCCCGGAGGGGGCCCCTGACAGTGTGACACAGGGGGTGGTGTCCCAGCTCTCTTCAGCTGAGTGTTTGCAAACCTTCCACACCTCTGACAAAACCAGCTCTGATCCCCTAAATGATGTTTGAAATTTGTTCTCTCTTAAATACCCAAGGACCCAGGCTGATAATTCGAGAGCTGAATCACACCTCTGAAGGGGTCTTCTGTCTTCTGCCTTTTATGGAAGCAGGTAAATCCTCAGAAAGTGGGGACAACCCTCAAAGGGGAGGTTTGGGCTGAACGTGTGTCACATGAACTTGGACCTTCAGGGCCCCTGACCTCGTGGGGACCTCCCCACGCTGAGTCATGCTGGACATGTGGGGGCATCCATGGGGCCCTTGGGATCCTCAGCCTGCACCCCGGAGGCCCTCCTGCAGGGAGAGGTGCTCACACACACAGCACTCACTGGTCCTTGATCTTATTGGCCGCAGTCCGTCCGACCTCCTTCGTGTGGGCCTGGGCTTTGCACCCGTGCCACAGGTAGATGAGGGCTTTGTGGACGTTGAGGACGACCATGGACGTCCTAGACCTGAGGCTGCTGCAGTGACAGGCCACCTCCAGCAAGTTCCCCTCCACGGGCACCTCTCCGCGCACACAGTACAGCCGCCACTCGCCTGCAGGGGGCGCCAGCCGCACAGTTAGGAGGGGACCCTGCCAGGCGGCCCAAGCCCCACTCCTTCCTGTGTCTGGAGGGGCAGGTGGAGGTGAGGCGGCTTCTAACTGAGGCCCAGAAAACAAACCTTTGTGGACTTAGAAACAGGTTGCCGAAAGTTCACGATGCAGAAAAACCAGTTTCACAAAATTTATAAAGACCTACGTAAGCAGTAACAGGCATATTTTAAGAAGCTTGAAAGCTGTGATTTTGTTTTTTAAGATGTTGCTCAACAGAAATCTCATAATTTAAAAGATAAAATCACTGATTTTTTTTCCCTCCAGGATCCAGTTTAAGGTCATCTTGTGGCCTTCTGCATGCAAAGCTGGATTTTGAAGGCAACTCCGTGGAAGGAGGGGGTGGGGTGTGGGCACCCCATAAAGCTGATTTATAAGGCAAACTCCAGGAGGTCGTCACTGGTGAAGCCATAGCTACATGAAGAGAGACTTACTCCAGACCCCCACCCCTGTAAAAAATACCTTCCCTGGAGAAAAAACAAAAGGGAATTCCAAGAGTAAGAGTGACTCACTTTGTGTGTTTTCTTCCTCTTCCTCCCGTCTCCCGGAGTGGACCACCATCCCCCCCTGGAAACACTGCAGGAAACAGGGGGGCTCCTTGCCCTGCAGGACTTGGACCTTCCGATTGAAACACATGATAGAGTAATAAGTCACGTGCCCCAGTTCTGCAGTCATAAAAACAACACATGCCTGTGTAGAAAATCTGAAAAATATTGAGAAGGACAAATAAAAGCCAGTGATAATACCATGATTTATAGAGAACACTATTATAGTTCTAGAGTACAGTTTTTCTATGATACAAAGTATTTTTCAGGTGTACATTTTTCCAAGTAGGATTGCTGTTTTATGTTGCTTTTATACCCTGATTTTCTTCAGTTAGTGTTTTTCTATCATCACATGTCCTTTAAAGCATGAATTCTGATATTCAGCGATAGGGATATAATGTGATTAATTTAAACATGTTTTTAATAAGACTTCTCAGCAGTGAGAATGACCAGCACCGACTCAATGTTTCTGGGGAAAAGAACGACCTCTTCTGCAGCTTCTGGTACCCTCAGAGGGCCTGTCATCCAGGGCACCTCAGTCAGTGCATCTGTTAACCCATTGCAACATAGTAACAGTAACCGAGGGTTGAGTCAGCTGACTCTCACTTTGCCAAAGACATTTTCCCTTAAACAGGAAACTTAACTGAGCCTGGCAGTTGGGCAGCACTGAAAGGTAGACAGTGTTTCTCACTGTAAGTTATCAACCTCAGGGCCTTACTGTGCATCATTAAGGGCCATTTTGTGCCAGTGATTCTCTATTTCTGCAGTGATTTTCCACCCATTGGATTAATAAAAATGAAATGCTCCAATTGGATTAAGACTGAAAACCCTAAGGATGATTTTGAAGGTATGATAAAACATTTGTTTATGGCCTCTACCCCCGCCAAAAAAAAGCAGTTTAAATGATCCACTATGAGGAATAAATTAGCTTTCAGTGATGAACGGCTGTTATGTGGAAAATATAGTCCACAGTAAAAAAAAATATGCATTAAATACTTTTAGGAAAGAGGATTGGTTTTTAGGAACCTGGACGGCTGAGTGCTTGTGGATCTGTTTCTGGAGAAAATACCTCTGCTTTCTTTCCTATGTTTTTCTTAACTGTTCATCCAAGACAGTAAAAGGATGCTAAGATCTCTAAAACACCAGAATCAACTCTTAATTACCCATAATAAAGGAAGGGACCCGAGGTTAGATAATCCAAACATTAAAAAGGAATGTTTTCAAAACCTTTGACTTTGGGCAGTGGTACCTGCCAGACATCACACAGGCTCTGGGGTTATGGGGTGGGTAAGACCAGGATAGACACAATTTCTTTGATGCTTATAGAGGAAGGCAGAGAATAAGTAAACAGTGACCATCCTTCTACGTCAGGGTAAGTGCTGTGAAAAAATAAAGCAAAGGGAAAGAGAAGGTGGAGAAAGCACATGGAGGTGACATCCAGACAGAAACCCAAATCGTGTAAGGTTCCCAGCGAAGTGCCAGGCCGGGGAAATCAGTGCAAAAGCCCTGCAGTGGGCAGAAAGAGGGAGGAACCATAAAAAGGTGGGAGTGGCCTAAACAGGTGTACAAGACGAGGGAGGTTGGGATGGTGCAGGACTGACACCAGGAGACCCTTAGATGGTGGTCCAGGTGTGATGGAGAACAGAGTGGGCAGGGCATCATCTGATGGGTCCTAGAAAAATCACCCAGGCTGCCATGGGGGATGCAGGCCATGGGAAGACTCAGTCTTTACATCCATCTTTGATACTTCCTGAGGATGGATTTGTGTAAGTGGAGTATGATCAAAGTGTGTGAACACTTTAAGGTTCCTAAGCCAAAGCTGCTTTTCAGGGTGGCTGTTTCAATTTATACTTCCTAGCAGGGGTGGGCATGGGCACCCATCCTCCTGAATCCCCACCAGCCCTGGATCCATTCTTTTAAAACACTTCTGCCATTTTAGGAGTGGAAAGTGGCATATTTGTCCTATGTACAATTCCTTGATGATCAGTTAAATGAAAACTTAAAAAAACGCTCACGGGCTCTTTAAACTTAATTTCGTGGATTTACTATTTGCAGATATACTTTAAGGCCGTATTATAAGAGGTTTGCTTTCCTGGCCAGGCAGGTGATGAAAGAGGAGACAGAGCCTGAATTACAGAGAAGCCAGATCAAGACTAAGGAGGCTTTGGACAATGCTGTCCTTTGTTCCTGAGAATCAGGTCCTCCCTGGTTTGCGGCGCGTCTGCCTCTGGGACTTACCTGGGCCCCCCTTTCCTCGTCCAGCTCCACCGTCATCAGGGCCGATGTGCCCTTCTCGCTCACGGTCGACTGGCGGCCTTGCCAGAAGAAGTAGACACACTTCTCTTTGCCAGCCACCCTGACCGAGTGCTCCCCCTTCTGCCGGCTTCCCACTGCAAACACAAAGGACAGCAGAGCATGGGGTGAGCAGGGATAAACTCCAAGAAGAGCCAGTGTGCAGCTCAGGCCTCCAGACTCTGAGGACAAACAGCAGAGGCGCAGCCCTGGGGTGCAGGGGTGGGGAGAAGTCATTTACAACGGAGGGAACATCGATCTTGGTTGGCCACTAGAAGAGTGAGAAACTACCTTTCTTCCAGCTAATGGACCCCAAGCCAGAGGAAAATGATCTCCAGGCCCTCCTGATACCCCAAGATAAACACCTATCATCTGAGGAGATAGTCATCCAGGTGTATGTAACAGAAAAGTGTGGACGCCAGAGCAGGCCCGGGGCGCCTGACTGACACAAGCTCAATTTCTGTATTTCACCAACCTTTGGCAGACGATCCGCTGGTGGAGAAAAGATACTGTAAACAATGGTTGGGCCAGCTTTAAGCACGAAGGAAAAAATGTCATCTGCTAAGACTATTTAGTAAAAAAAAAAACTTTGAAGTCTCCAAGTTAGGTCAGAAGTGGGAGAGACAAATTGCGGACCTATCACTTTCACAAAATAACCTGGGCTTTAAGTGATGACTGCCACCAGGGCTGCAGCCAGAATGAAGGGCTGGTTAGTCTCACTGACGGGACCTCGCGGGCACTGGAGAGACCGCAACACACAGATCGCGGACCCCACTGAGGGACAGTCACGGAAAGTGATCTGGGTGAGTGGTCACTTCAGACAGTAGTTCAGACCCCAGACCATTAACCTTTAGGAAGAGACCTGTCTCCAGACTCCCTCATGTGTTTGTTCAGTAAATATTTACTGAACACCTGCTGTGTGCCAGGGCAATGATGGTGAGCAAGGTGACTTCAGAGGGTGTCAGTACTGAGAGGAGAAAGGGGATGTGACAGGGAGCAGGCTGAGCGATGCTGGAGTCTGGTGGGGAAGGCCTTTCGGAGGAGGTGCGTAAGGGAGGCCTGAATGACCGTGACCAAGAGGCAGAGCGCTCTAGGCTGAGTGACGTCAGGAGACTAAGATCCCCACTCAGATGCCCAGGTGGTCCCGGGTGGATCAGCCCAGGGAGGATGCAGGTGCCTGTGACACCCACGTATGTTAAAAATCAAGAAGAATAAAATATGCACACCAAAGGGGAAAGGAGGGGTGGGTGGGATGGGTTGGGAATGACGTTTATATTGTACTGTGTATAAAATAGGTAATTAATGAGAACCTACTGTATAGCACAGGGAACTCTACACAGTGGGGACCTATATGGGAAGGAAATTGCAACAAGATGGGATATAGATATATACACACATAGAGCCGATTCACCTTGCTGCATAGCAGAAACTAACACAGCATTGTAAAGCAGCTATAAAACTCCAAAAAAAAATTAAAAACATAAAAATACCAAAAATAATAATTGGACTCTCTGGGGTTCTATATGACCTCAATTTTTCTCAACCCCAGTGTCAATGACAAAATCACAGTTGTCTTAAGGTTTGAAGGTAAGAAGAAAGCTCAATTATTCCAAGTTTCTGAGTGGCCAGGGGCCATATTTATGTGATTTCTTTCGGTCTTTTTATCAAGGTATTCGAACAGCTTTCATAAATGATTATGATAATTCTTAAAGGATTCTGACCAAGCTCAGGCCTTCGCACCTTCTACTGTGAACCTGAAATTGTCAAGTCTGTGTACCTCTCGGTGCACCAAGCAAATAGGAATCACCCCATGAACAGATGTTACATGTCCACAATTAATTTGGAAGCCACTCGAAAGTTTTGCCAGTTTAGGTAGGAACAGAAGTTCTCTTTGTTTAGCAATCCCACACTCTTCAAAGCAATGAAAATTAGTCAAATCAGCTAGACTGCTACGGGAGCGATATGCTTAAAAGATATCACAGCAGTCTACACGTCTTGGAATTTGTTACCAGTCTGTTAAATATATATGTTCGTATTTAAATAATCAGTGTTTTGCACCCTAACATTCTAAAATGGGCTTGCCTACATATACCTAAAATAGGACTATATTCCCTTAAAAATATTCCATAAAAGTTTTCCCAAATTTTCCTTGCAATTTTCTTCCACATACCCTGAATTTAATCCTGTGTACAACTTACTTTTTGATGCATGTATTGATTTTTAGTTTTAGCGAAGGTTAAGCTGTGTTAGTTAAGCTCTATATTAAGAGCTCCTGGACTGTCGTCTTTGCAGCCGAGGCTGAATGTAACATGTCGCTGCATGCTGCCATCCACCTGCTTCCAAGAGGAAGGTCGTTACCACGAGTTGCGTTTAGAAGTAACAGAACACAGGTGGTGGCTGCTCAGCCACGTGAACTGCTCAGCACGTGGTCTTGCAGCCAGCCTCCTACAATAGGAACTTGACTCCTGCAGGGGGCCCAGTGGGGCCTGCCCCAGCATCACTGGGTACCCCAAGCTGCCTGTTCCTTGACCCCGTGGGGACCTGAGCCACATCCTGCTGCATCTGGGGTGGGACACTGACCACTGGGGCCTCTGGTCTCCCGTGTCACAGTTCACGTCCCAAGGAGCAGACTGCCCAGAGTCAGCCAAGAGGGCACCAGTGCTGCATCACGAGGAGCTGCCTTCTGCTGGGCCTGCCCAGAAGGGTGCCTTGAATTCAACCCCCTTTGCAGGTGCAGCCCTTGTGGGCCTGAGAGATGTGGGGACTGGACCAGCTGTCACCAAGGGACCAGGGCTTCTGTGATGACCACAGAGCAGCTGCAAATGCTATTTGGCTGTGCTTTTCTGCTCCCAGAGGGACAGCCTGGAATCTGAACGCTGCCCGGCCTCCCTTAATCCTCTGCAGCTGGGCTTCATCAAAGCTGTCACTTTGTCCATAAAGGTGCCTGCCACAGGGTCTGGCTGGGACATGTACCTTGTGTTCACTGGGGAGAAACACAAAGTATCTGCCCAGGTCACATCAGCATTTCTTAGGGGCCTCTCAGAAATCTGATATCTGTTTTTTAAATTCATTTTCATATAGTCTTAGTCATCCATTTACTGACCATTATTTCTTAAGGAGACAAGTAAATTTCAGACGGCAGCTCCCCCATCTGGTTTTGTAAAACGACAAGCCCCTTCCCTTCCTCTACTCTTAAGGCTGAGGATGGTGGGTGCTCTCAAAAGTTGCTCCTTATTGGTCCCACGTCCACAACATCAAAGGTTAGAACTTTTCCCACTAAATTCCCGCTGATTGTCTCAACTGCCAGGCAGGACAGGTGAGTATTCAGTGTCCAACTTGGCAGCTCACCCCAGAGTTTAAACCCACAACAGAGACCCTGTGGGAACTGCTTTCACTGGGGGTGGACCCACGGTATCTCATCTTCCAGTTCGGTGCAGGAGCTATGCTGAGAAGGTCAACAATGATGATGTCTGCACCTCTTATGTGCTAAACATCCCGCATACCTGATCCTAGGACCCTGCAAGCGGGGTATTACAATCTGCATTTGCCAGGTGAGTAAACCGAGGCTCAGTCAGTTTATGTAAATTTCCCCAGCTTGCACAGCTAGTGGCCCCTGAGAGGATTCAGACCCAGGCTGTAGGGTACCTGGGTCTGGGGCCTTTCCTCCAAGCTGGGAGGCCTTGGGGAGAAAAGCGGTCTTGAGTGTCCAGTCCTATGTCCTGTGACTGTCAAGTCACACAGTCCCTAAAAAAGTGTCTTATTCCTTAAATATAAGACCTGATACCATAAAACTCCTAGGAGAGAACATGGGCAAAACATCCTACGACAGAAATTACACCAGTGTTTTCTTAATGTCAGTCTGCTGAGGTAATAGAAAGCAAAGCAAAAATAAATGGGACCTAATCAAACTTACAAGCTTTTGCACAGCAAAGGAAACAAGGAAAAAAAAGAAAAGACAACCTATGGGATGGGAGAAAATACTTAAAAATGATGTAACTGACAAGGGTTTAATCTCTAAACTATACAAATAGCTCATACAACTCAACAACAGAAAACAACCTAATTGAAAAATGGGTAGAAGATCTAAATAGACATTTTTCCAAGGAAGACATAAAGATGGCTAGTAGGCAGTTGAAAAGATGCTCAACATCATTAATTATTAGAGAAATGAAAATAAAAACCACAATGAAGTATCACTTCTTACCATTCAGAATGACCGTCATTTAAAAATCTACAAATAAATGCTGGAGAGAGTGTGGAAAAAAGCGAACCCCTCCTACACTGTTGGTGAGAATGTAAGTTGGTGCAACCACAGTGGATAACAGTACGGAGGTTGCCCAGAAAACTAAAACAAGAATTACCATATGATCCAGCAATTCCATTCCTGGGCATATAACCAGAAAAAAAAACTGTTACTATAATTGAAAAAGATACATGCATCCCTATGTTCATAGAAGCACAATTTACAATAGCCAAGACATGAAAGCTACCCAAATGTCCATGGACAAATGAACAGATAAAGAAGATGTGGTGTAAAGACACACACACACACAATGAAATATTCCTCGGCCATAAAAAATGAGAGAATGCCATTTGCAGCAACACAGACGGAGAGATGATCATACTAAGTAAGAAAAAGACAAATGCTCTATGACACCACTTGTATCTGGAATATAAAATACAACACAAATAACCTTGTCTATAAAACAGAAACAGGACTCATAAAGAACAGACTGGTGGTTGAGAAAGCGGGAGGGGACGTAGGGGAGGGGCAGACTGGGAGTCTGAGACCAGCAGAGGCAAACCAGCCATACAGGAGGGACACACAGCAAGGTCCCACCGTACAGCACAGGGAACTGTATTTAATAGCCTGTGATGAAACATAATGGAAAAGAATATGAAAAAGGATGTGTGTGTGTGCGTGTGTGTATGTATATATATATATTTGAATCATTCTGCTTTACAGAAATTAATACAACACTGTCGATCAACTATACTTCAATAATATAAATTTTAAAAGTGTCCTCTTTATAGAGCGGGTGCTCGGTAAATGCCACCTGTTGAGTAACAGATGTATAGTGGATAAATTAGGTAAGAAACCAAATGGTTCTAAGTCGGTGTCTGAAAGCCAACAATGGCCTCCGCCCTGTGCCCAGCGGGGCAGCCACACCCAGAAGGTGAGGGGGCCAGAAGGAGGTGACTGAACTCCCTTGACAAGTGAAACTCGGAGTCATCAGGTTGTGACATAAACTGTCTCTAAATGCGTAGGAATGAGGGACACTGGATCACTTGACTTGTGGCTGCTGCTTGGCAAGAAAAAGGGATTATTTCTCCCCAGCCCACTGCTCTCCGCCCTCACTGCACCTAGTGCAAAGCACGCCGTGGAGTGTTTTGTTCTTTTGCTGCGTGACGAGCACAGCGCTGTGGGGTCCGTGGGGAGGTGGGACCATGTATTTATTTACTCTGGCAGATCCATAGAGCACTGTTAGGACTCTCAGCCTTGGAGGAAATACTTCTATCAGTCTGAATAAATCTTTTTGTTCATGGATTGACTGTGATGACACCATTTGGTTTCAGTTCTGAACCATTGGCTGTTTGTTCCTTCCATTTCGGCAGCATCCAACCATGGGGTAAATAGCAATGCCATATGGAGGCAAATCACTGCTTTTCTAGAAGACCTTTGGGGATGGGGCAGGGGAGGGGGCAAGGGTGGCCGGGAAACCTTACCATGCCAGGCAACTAGAGGGAAGCACCAGGGATGCTAGCCATGCTGGGGTGTTAGGAATCTATTCCCGAGGTTCTCATGAGGAATGACTAGACTGGCTCCTGTACCAGCAGCTGGAGGCACATACACACTCACTCTGGATCTGGCGGCCACAATGCCCATGGCGGGGCTGGGAGGACACAGAAGTGCTCACTCACCTGCGGTGCTCACGATGAACTTCCACTTGACCACGTAGGCGTCGCCCTCGTGGAACTGCCCGATGCTCTGCTTGGGGAGCCTGCTGTAGTCGAACTCCAGGATGTGCCAGACGTCCACCGAGACGCTGGCGATCTCAAACTGCCTCCGGTCGTCCCCTTCCACCAGCCCATAGCCTCGGCCCACGTTGACCCCATCCAGCACGGTGCCGGCTGTCGTCTGGGGCACCGGAACCATCCGCGTCACATCGTAAGGCTTGACCTCCGCCCGGGCATCATCCTAGGAGGGAACACAGACATGCTGGCTCAGCTGCCTCTGCATCCGCAGCTATAGCATCACTGCTTCCCTGGTGATGGGATGCCCTCAGAGGATGGCATTGAGGTTGTCCAGTGCATTTCAGGAAAGGCTGCATTTAGGGGACGCACAGCCACGACTGAATGTGACACCTATAAACCAGGAGATGGAAACACGGCTATTTTCACCTCCTGGAGTCAGACTGTAACTGGAAACGGGTTTGCTGTTCTACTAGCAAACCCCAGGAGGGCTTTTAGCACCCAAGCCCCTTTGGCATGGACTCAAACCGAGCCCTGAGGTTTGGGGCTTGATCATCCTGAATACCTTGTGCTGCGCAAGTTCGCTGGCGTTCTTCTCATTAGGTCTCTTCAGTTCCGTCCAATCAAGAAATTTCTCTTTGAACAAGATCGTCTCGTTGTGTTCTGTAAGTCTCCCAAATATTGCCCAGTCAGGCCGCCCCTGTCCTTTTCTGCAGGGTGGGGGTGGGGTGGGAGGAGTGGATGGGAAAAGAACCAAGATTAAATAAGTCACGTTGAAATTAAGAAGTACAAACCCAGCACATGTGGCTAGTGAGAAAACCAAACACATAAACAGTATACAGAGTGGATGGTTTGTTTTCACTGATGTGACCCGATAAATGACATTTTCTTTTTTAGCCTGAAGCCTTGCATGGTTTTGTTTCCTTGGAGTTGATGTGCCTGAATGTGACATGATCCACCTCAGGACTGGACTTGCCTTGCATTCTAGCAAATCCTCATGTCGGGGTCCCATAGGGCAACAGGCTAGTCTGGGAATTCAGCAAAGGCAGGAGTCACAGGCGTGTCTCTCTTGCCTGCTTTATTCTGCCCATGGTCATCCAAAGGGCCTCAGCATGTTTCCTTCAAGTTCATGAATAGATGGAGGGATCTGTGTTCACCCTGAGTGCTCTTTTTAAGTCATGTCACAATGGAGATTGCCAGTCTCCAGGAACAAATTCTCCTCTCTTCCCTAAATGAACATATCCTCATAGATCATAGAGTGAGTTTGTGCACATTTATGTCTAGATCACTGGATGGGAAGCAGGTGAGCAGAACACAATGAAGAGAGAAAGGAAGCTGCCTAGCCCAGTCAGGAGGTCCGTACTGTCTTGGGATCTCAGAATCCAGCATTGAACTTGGAACACAGCTAACTTAGAAATAGGCAGAGCTGAGAAAGGACGTGCAGAAGAGGGTGAGCCCTAAGGATAAGGTGAAGGTGTTTCTCATCCTTCCTAATCAGCCTTGGCTTGTGAATTGGGTCCATGAGATGGATGGGCAGTGCTTCCTGGGCCTTGTGGTGGCCCCTGCTTCATCACATCCTATTTGGTCCAGACCAGTTTCTGGCATCACAGCTAAGGCACACCAAGGGGCTGCCTGTTGGATGAGGCACTGTATGCAAACACTTCCCCTGTGAACTCTAGTGGGGCTTCAGGAACCAAATATCAGCAACTATGGAAAGTTCAGGATTACCTTGAAGGCTATGGCCCTTAACAGAAAATAGCTGAGTGACTGTCTTTTATCTAAATTCCACGCTGCAGACTTGCTAAGGTGCTTATAGAATGAGCACTTTGGTCTCAGCTTAGAAACTGATCTTGGATACTGTGAAGCCAGGAGCATGGCCAGCAGGCCTGCAGCGTGAGGGCGTGAAGCTGGTGATCCTCCCCTCTGTCCTGACTCGTGGGTCTGAGCTGGGTGAAGTCATGACTCCTCGGCGGTTTCAGTCTGCTATCTGTTAAGAAGGGCTGGGTGCTCCACTTAGCCTGCACCTTAAAATCCCTGGGGAGCTTTTAAGACGTGCTGACACACAAGCCCCACCCACCTGAATTGAAAACACATCTCCCTGGCTGGGCCCACCAAATGCATTTTTTTTCAAAGCTCCTCCACTGAGAGCCAGCGGGTGAGATGCCCACTCCTCTGTATTTTCAGATCTCAGATGATGTCATGACTGAACTGTCCATCATACAGATTTTATGCTTTGCTATTTTTTTCTTTTACTATAGCAAGTAAAATATTCCTTTTAGTCTTAGATTTAGTTCTTAAAAAAAACAAGTTGTTTCAGTACTAATTTTGTTAAATGTGCTTAAAAAGGATTTGAAAACTTTTCACCTACACTGACATTATATTTTTTTTTACACTGACATTATTTTGAATTTTTTCTATAATGACAATGAATAAAATCAAGAATTGGGTTTTAAAACAGGAAACTAGGTAGGATTGTTGAGATCTGTATATAAGTTCAATGGAAAACATTAACAAGCAGTTTCAATGTGCCATTTGCATCAATTTCTAATGTATTATGTGGCAGGCATAATTTAAAGGCACTTCTTTTTCCTGATAGTTATGAAATAAAAAACACTGATCCTTTGGATGTAAGAATTTTTTTCCTCAAGATCATCTTTCTGAGAGTTTTGTACATCTTTGGCCGATTTGCCAGAATGACTTTAAAAAGTCCAGTAGACTATAGGAAATAATTACAGTCATTACTTCAATACGACATCCTCCCTCCCAGTAAAAGGGCCAAAACCTCATCTAAATAAATGGTGGATCCTGGAATTCAAGGGCTATGCTGGGAAGGTGTGAAACCAGACAGAGAGGCATGGTTTCCACAGCTTTAGATCCATGGCTGGATTCCAGGACTTGGCAAGCTTTTCAATGAGCAAGCCATTTGTTTAAACAACTGCTATTCATCTGGCACAAAAGCACCTGAATGCTGCAGGTGGCACTGATTTAAGAAATGAAATATAACAGGAACACCATCCAGACGACCTCTCCATCCGTACTTCTGTATTTGTTAGGGAAAAGCTAAAGCACCGTTCCTTTTGTGAATAATCATAGTACTGCATTGTGATCAATTATGAAAAGTAAAACCCATGAAAGGTGATGGTTAATCACTGTGGTGGGGAGGAGGTGGCCAAGGGCCCGGCAGTACCTGGGAATGAGGGGATTGCATTCCCCAGGATCCAGCGGGTTGATGTCACAATTCTCGTAGTCAAAGGTTCCATTCCACAAGTGCTTTGCCAGCTGAAAGGCGATTTTCCGTTGTGCTAATGTGACTTCTTTTCCATGCCACACGTAAACTTCACTCCCAAAATCAAACACTAGTACCTGGGGCAATGGCATAGAAAAATCTGTTAACTCCAAGGACAAATTCTAGTTGACAGGGTCTCTAGTGACAGTGAATTAGACAGGCGATGATTTAAATCCTAATGGAGCACTCAGTGCAGACACAAAGAGACCTGGCAGCTAGCGCCATCCTGCCAAGCCAGCCTCCACTCCGTGGGTGTGATTTCTGTCTTGTTGACCTAAGTGCCCAAGTTACCCCCTCCTCTGAAGGCTCAGGCCATGTAGCACCTCTGAGGCATAAGAGCTATTTAAGCATGTCTTCCTCCGTCCCCCATACTCCCTCCTACCTGGTCACTCACTCATTTAACTTACACAGGCAACCTCACGTGGCACTGAAGACCCAGCGACTGTACTCTGCCCTGTGCAATTCCAAGACCCTCAAGGGCAGAGAGAAACCTGTACTTACATTCACAGTTGGGCTCACTAGGGTTTGTTGAATGAATGCATGAACACAATGCTATTTCTTATTTCCATGCCTGTTGCTTGTTCTATGCTTTCTTGCTAGAATAATTCCTGTCTTCATTTCCAACCTTCCCTGATAGCTCAGTTGGTAAAGAACCTGCCTGCAATGCAGGAGACCCCAGTTCAATTCCTAGATGAGGAAGTTCCCCTGGAGAAGGGATAGGCTACCCACTCCAGTATTCTTGGGCTTCCTTGGTGGCTCAGCTGGTAAAGAATCCACCTGCAATGCGGGAGACCTGGGTTCGATCCCTGTGTTGGGAAGATCCCCTGGAGAAGGGAACGGCTACCCACTCCAGTACTCTGACACAACTGAGCGACTTTTACTTTTCATTTCCAGCAATCCAGATTCTACTTAAGAATAGTAGAATTATTATTACTAAGCAAACTAAGTAGAATTACTAAGCAAATGACTCAATTTCACCTTATCATTAAAATTATTCCTGATTACTTCTTTTTCTGTGACAGTGTTTCTCCCTTTAAATGCCCATTCACATCAGACAATCAGTTTAGCTTTGGATGACATTCTTTCTAATCCTTTTCTACCCAATGAAACTTAAAGTCCCTTTGTGTCTTCCACTTTCTTCTCCACATTCAGAATACTTAATGGTCCTGGATGTATATACTCACACACACACACACACATATTTGTATACACACATACAAACACATGTATGCACGTGCGCTCATTTGCTTCAGTCATGTTTGATTCTTTGTGACCTTATGGACTGCAGCCCGCCAGGCTCCTTGGTCCATGGGATTCTCCAGGCAAGAATACTGGAGTGGGTTGCCATGCCCTCTTCTAGGGGATCTTCCTGACCTAGGGATCAAACCCACGTCTCCTGCGGCTCCTGCATGGCAGGTGGATTCTTTTTTTGCTGAGCTACTGGGGATGCTCACAAACACATATATATAAAATATTAAATGTAAAATTAAATATTTAATATATATTTAATAAATATTTATCAGAAAAAACAATAAAAATTTATTATTTAAATTTAATAAATCTTTACTTATGTGAGAAATAAAAATTCATGCGTTTACTTGGCAAACCTAAAAATTATATATACACCTATAATTCCTGAAACTTAAGGACTAAAAAATGGTTAATGTTCATACAAAAATCAAGAGACAGGCCTGAGTCATATTTATGTTTGGCCCAAAATAGAAAAGCCTTCAATGCCCCATACCTCCTTGGAACAACATTTGTAACTCTGTATTAGCAACCAGGTGGCGCGGTGGTAAAGAATCTGCCTGCCAGTGCAGGACATTTAAGAGACAAGGGTTCAATCTCTGGGTTGGGAAGATCCTCTGGAGGAGGAAATGGCAACCCGCTCCAGTACTCTTGCCTGGGAAAATCCCATGGACAGAGGAGCCTGGCGGGCAACAGTCCATGGGGTCGCAAAAAGTCAGACACAGCTTAGTGAATAAACAACAATTAGCATCTAAGATGACAGTAATGATTTGAAATCACAAATTGGTAGCCTTTAAAAAGATGTTTCTGGGGACTTCCCTGGTAGTCCAGTGGTTAAGAACGCTGTTCTTCTGCTGCAGGGGCCGTGGGTTTGATCCCTGGTTGGGGAACTTAAGATCTCGCATGCTTCAAGGTGCAGCCAAAAAACCCAAACAAGATGTCTCTGGTCTGTGATGTGCACTAACCCTGGCTAGTGTCTGTCGGGCACTTCCTGTCTGTTTTCCCGGGCAGCCCAGGGCCAAGGCAGAGTCCTCACCATACCTCTTTTGACTGCAGGAGGGAGCACTTTGGGATCTTCCCCCAGTAGTCATCATCAGGGACGAGTTTGTCATCCATCAAACGGTAAATGCAGTTGGTTTCTATTATGGCCGTTTCGTAGAGCTCATCCTCCTTTGGGTCTCCGGCGGCTTTGGGATAAGAACAGTAAGGGGATGTTATGTTTTCCACTGGAGAGCGGCTGGTTTGGAAGAAGGAAGGAGAAGAGGAGAAGAAGTAGCCAGTCTTCTTCTCTGAGATGCGGTAAACTCTTACATTGGTAACTGGCTTGGCCGCCCAGAAGCTTCCAGAAATCTTTGGCTGCATGTGTGTGTGTATTAATTCCTTCTTCAACAGTCTGGATGTAAGTTGCTCTACAACCAAGTTCCCTCTTGGTCTGAATTAAACTTGCGAGTTCTGAGGCCTAAACAGAGAGAGGAACACAGTTACCCGGGCAGACAAGTCCAAGGCCAGGTGGTGGATGGGCTAAGGCTGAAATCAGAGAAGAGAAATGGTGCATGTCTGAAAGGAAAACCTCCTGACCACAGGGGCCAGGGGCACTGGTTGGGGGTTGTCTACAAAGTCAAGAAAATGTAACTAAAGGACTAGGGGGAATCCATTCTTTACAGCAACAGTTCTTAGTCTTAAATTCAATAGATCATCCGTGATGCTTTGTAAAAACACCCATTTTACTAATCAGCCATAAAAAAAAAAATTTGTAGCAACATGGATGCAACTACAGATGATCATACTAAGTGAAGTCAGAAAGAGAAGGACAAATACCATATGATGTCATATATGGAGTCTAAAATATGACACAAATGAACCTATCTATGAAACAGAAAGACTCACAGACATAGAGAGCCGACTTGTGGCTGCTAGAGGGGAGGAGAGGTGGGGGAGGGATGGAGTAGGAGTTTAGGATTAGAGATGCCAAGTAGCATATGTAGGATGGATAAACACCGAGGTTCTATCGTATAGCACAGGGAACTATCACTCAATATCCTGGGAAGAAAAACAATATGAAAAAGAATGTATGTGTAACTGAACCACTTTGCTCTACAGCAGAAATTAACTCTGTAAATCAGAAATGAACATTGTAAATCAACTATACGTCAATTAAAAATCACTAAGTCAATAAAAAGAAAAAAAGTACCCGCTTCCTGGTCTTTTCCCATTAAAACCTCACTCAGTACATCAGAGAAGGAACTTCATTAGCACCTGGGATAAACAATTTGGAAGTGACGGGTCAGTTCCTTTCTTCTACAGGAGAAACTATGAACCAGGACTTAAAACCTGGGGGCATAGCTCAGACTCCTTTGAAAACATCTCCCTGAAACACTTAATGAAAGCTCATGGCAGAGGCTTTCTGGAAAAGAAAGAAGACTGTCTCCTCTCACTTGAAGGAAACACTGAGCCTTTGAGAAGCTCTCTAGGGGTCTGGCCACTGGAAGAATGTCCTGTCTGTGTCTAAAGGAGACGCAGAACCAAGCTACTGTCATTCCTCAGACACTGACCTTTGCCTTCTCGATCACGTTGGCAAACTCTCCGACCCACAGGAAGCAGTGATGGGGCGAGAGCAGGAGGAAGCAGTCCCCGCTGTTGAGGGAGGAGGCGCGAGGCTCCACCAGCCGCGTCTGCACGTGTCTTCTTCCTGAACACGGGGCAGAGGTCACTGTCTCCCCGACAGGAGCCCCAGCAGGACCCGCCGGGAAGCACCCCACATCCAGAGCAGCCCTGCTCCTGACTCTGCCTCTGACCAGTCTCCTCTGCTCACCTGAGCTCCCGTGACCCAGGGGACCTAGGTCACAGCCTCGTGGATGACTTTCCCTGGTGGCATGTCCCAAGAGTCGCCACCAGGACCACTAGCGGTGTCCTGTTACAGCGCGTGGATCCATTAAGGCTCCCTCCCCAGGGATGTTGGCAAACACCCTATTTCCCCTCTCCCACTCCTCTCCTGGTCTCTCTCCACTCAGCCCACCTCCTACACTTAACAGCCTCTGCGGGCCGGGTGATCAGAGAGCCCTTCAGAGAACCTCCTGGTCCTTGGACACCCTGAGACTACAGAGGAACCAGCTTAGAGGGAAGCACTGCGTTGTGCAGCTTCCAACACCTTCTCCTAAATGGTTTCCATCTCCCCACAGTCACACGGATAGTGCCGTCCCAGCGCTACAACATGGGAACGGAGGCGGGGGTCTGCCTTGCCACTGGTGTTCTAAATACGCTACAAAGGACAGTGGTCGTGCAGACACATACTGGAAACTGCCAGCGAAGCAGAGGATACGCCCTCCTTGTCTTGAGCCTGAATCTACAGCAGTGCTACTGGGGGGCAGCTAATCACTGCAGGGCAGCCCAGAGCCCTCTGGCTTCGGGGGAAGGCTCCTTGTTAAAGAGGGGGAGGGAGGTGTTGGCCACACCTCTGTGCTCCCTCGCTCCCTTCTCTGAGAATGCCCATCTCTCCCTCTGGCTCCCTGACTCCTGCTGACCCCAGTGAGGACAAGAGTGGGGCGAACACTCTGATGGCCGTGGGGACATCTGATGACCTCAGGCAGTGTGTGGCCAGGGTCACGGGAAGGAGTGCAGCAGCAAGAGCTGGGATTCTGGGATCAGATGGACCAGGGTCAAAGTCAGCTCTGCCGCTCAGCATCTGGGGACCTGGGGCCCGTCACCAAGCTCAGGCGCCGAATGCTTGCCACCTCGTGGGATTTTGCAAAGCTGGGGTTAGATGCGGGGGTGCCCAGTGGACTCTCCAGAAGCGTGCATTCCCTCCTCCTATCAGGCAAGTGGGGGCGGGGGACTCAGGCCTCCAGACAAAACCCGGGGTCGCGTGTGGTCCTCTCAGCTCTCGATACCTTTAACCTGCAGCAGCATCAGCTTCTTGTAGGGCACTGCGCTGTTGTTGGAATTCTGTTCTGTCAGGTTGACGCTACGCAGGCTGACGTTGCTGAAGTTTTCTTTGCTGGCTAACCCTGCCAGGGTGACTTCTGAGAAGCTGGAGTTGGCGGACACTGGGAGGATCGAAGGACGAAACAGCACAGGGCAGTGAGACATTCGGGAGAAAAGACAACGTTTACACTCAGCGATCATGCATAACTGAATCACTGCTTTCTTCTTTTCAAGCTAGTCCTGATGGGGGAACACATACTCTAGTCTGATGAGCTATGCAGTGAAGCTCTGTGTTAGGAATTAAACACAGGATTGAAAATATAAATGCTTGTTGACAGGTGTCACCCCATCCATGCAGAGAGATAAGAACTGAGTGTGGACCAACAACCTCAGTATAAAATCAGGAGCTGGACTCATTTGCTGCAATTCCACTAAAGCCGTTATAATTCCTTACAGGGTTCAGATGTTGAAAATGCTTTCCTGAGGGGGACTGTTGGATATCTCCCATCCAAAGTCTTTATATGCAGAAAAGCAGGCACTCTGTAAGGCTTGGTTTAGTTTTCATCTTTTCCTGGAGGCAGAGTGAACAACTAGATGATCTCTTGGGATCCTTTGCTCTCAGATTTAAGATTGTAACAAGATGCTACGTTCTCAGTGTGAATCAACAAATGTACATATGTCCCCGAAAAGTGGAGGCAGAATTAAAGTACATAGAATTTGTGCCAATAAATCTTTATTTATCCAGCTCTTTGTTTTAAAAAATATGTGCATGCTAGAGAGAAACTCGGAAAATTACTTCGCTGGGATGAAGTTCTAACACTGAAGAAATATAACACCAAATATAACACAATTCATATGGCTCAGAGATTTTGAAATATACTTATTTAGTAAGACAATTATAATGAAAAGGCTCAACCACTTCATCTAAATATTCTATTTCTAAAAATAAAAAACCAACTTTGGTAAGTAGGTTTATGAGTGCTATAGGAAAATAAAAATGATAGCAAGAGTATTCAGACTCGCAAAATCATGCATGCCACTAGCTCCACCAGGACAACCACTGTTTCTGAACTGGGGACCCCCATGTGGCTGGGCAGAGGAAGGTCATGGCTGAGCCTGAAGTGGGACAAAGCCTGGGGGCTGCTCCTCACTTTCATCATCACCCTACCTCTACTGCCCGCTCCCACCACCCCTCAACCCACATCCCAACTTCAAGGAGCCCGAGGTCCTCTGCAAAGCAATGTGAAAAGCACTGGTTTGTACTTTAATTAATAGCGTAAAATCTAGGATTAGGCAAAGCGGGAATGTGGGACACTTGCCCATGAGAGATCTAATTTCCTCTAGAATCAAATGGAGTGGAGAACTGCTGAGTTTGGAAATGGGCTGAATTACAAAGCCCTACCTCCCTTTCCTCCAGCCCCTGGAAAGAAAACTCAAAAAGACTTAAATGAACAGAGGGCTTCCCTGGTGCTCAGACAGTAAAGAATCTGCCTGCAATGTGGGACACCTGGGTTTGATCCCTGGGTTGAGAAGATCCCCTGGAGAAGGGAATGGCTCCCCACTCCCGTATTCTTGCCTGGAGAATCCCCATGGACAGAGGAGCCTGCTGGGCTCCAGCCAATGGGGTCGCAAAGAGTCGGACACGACTAACACTTTCACTTTAAGTGAACAGATGGGCAACACTTAAGAGTTTCTGTGAGAAGCCTTCACCTTCTAAGCAGGTTTTCTGCAGGTGTGCATGCGTGTGTGCAAACACGCTCATTTGTTTTTCACGAGTATCTCTGAGCACCATGACTGGCCTTTGCAGGGCAGGAAAATGAGAGATGGAGTCACCTGCTCCCCCAGTTCCCGAGCACACAGCTGGGGGTGGGCCCCAAACTCACACTTTTCGACTTTCATCCGCTTTGACTCCACGAAGGCCACGTTCAGTCTCTGCTCAGTGTACTCCTGCAGGAGATCTTCCCTCGCGGCCAGCATCTTCAGGGGGTTTTTGGAAGCCTGGACCCGGCGCTTGGGCCTCACAGCACGCTTGTGCTCAGCCACCGAGGATGTCAACCTACGGGGCAGAGCAGAGCTGCTGTGGCCCAGGGCTGCAGTCTCACCCATGCTCAGGGGCTTGCGGGTCTCTGACCTGGTGCATCCAGCTCCAAAGTTTTATTTCTCAATTGCATTATAAATCTTACAGCTCCCCCTCCTCCTCCCACCATGCCACCAACGGAGTCAGGGGATCTTGGAAGGTTGACGCCCATTTGGGTCCAGATCCCAGCCAATCCTAGGAGCCCTGCTCTCACCATGCCCCTGGGACTTCACCTGGAGGAGTGGCTGGCGCCTCTGGGGCAGCCCACCCTACTCCTGGACAGTGCTGATAGGTGGAAGTCCTTCCCTGTTATCATCACCCCCCACAGCATCCCAATCATTTCCTGCTGGAAAAGAACCACCTTTCCTTCTCTGGGCTTTCTAGCAAGCCCTCTGAGAATAGCCAGGCATTGCTTCTCAATTTAACCCTCCTTCCTGAAAGCTCAACTTCCTCTCCATGTCAGTTTTTGAGTTCCCTCCCCAATTCTCCCATCACTATTCTCCTCTCAACCCACTGTCCCCCTTTGGAAAATAAGCACTATTTTGAAGAGTATACTGAAGTAAAAAGAGGCCCCAAAACTAACCATGACCATCTCTCTCTCTCTCACACACACACACAACTCTCTAGGGCTGAACACCAGACATGAAGATGGGGGTACACTCTGTTACAAAGTTTCCCAGCAGACTCTAGCTGCTTTTAACATCCAAGTGCATGGATCTTTGTCCTTGGAGGTCCTCTTTCATACATAACATTATCATGTGTGTATGTGTGTAAACACAACATATCAATGTTCAAATTGTATGTAACAATTTAAACAATGACATTTGGATGAGGAGGAGATTGAGAAATGGTCCAATAACTGTGTATGCAAATAATACCCAGAATATTAAAGGTGGGGAGTGGCAAATTATTCATTTTCTTAAGGTAGCAAATTAAAAAAAAACAAAACTGAACACACTGAAAAACGCAGAATGGGTATCAGGAACAGCTTAAGGAAACATTTATGATGATCTTACTGACTTCTGGAAGAGGCAGCTCTCTGACAAATTGGTGGGAAGCAGATAAATGTGGTGGATGGCTGCGGGGTAAGCCCACCCAGCACGCTCTCCCTGCTTCTGGTAGGTGGTCCTGGACTTGCCTTTGTGGGCTTGCCTCCCTCCACACCCCGCCCTGTATCCCAGCTCTGGAGCTGGAGGGGTCCAGAGACCACCACTAGCCTGTCAGCATCTTCCATCCCCTTGGCCGCAATGATGGCTGCAGGGTTGTATGCAGACCTGGGAAAATCAAGCCTGATCTCCTCCTAGGACTGCTGGGCAGGGCGGCTGCCTGCACAGGAGTGGCCATAGAGCTGGGCTATAAATCTGGAGTGAGGGGTGACCAACTAACATGTGATGATGGCCTGAGAGGGAAGCTGGCACGAGAGAGACATTATTCTGAGCCCCCCTGAACCTGAGGTCACACCTGCACTTTTCAAGGAGTGAACCTGTAAATCCCTCCACACTTCTCTTCTGCTGAAGCTGGTTGGACTTGCCTTTCTTTGCAGCACTTGAGATCAAAGGAATTCTAACACCATGAACACTTTTCTTTAGTGGTGTACCCAAATTTCTGTGTGAAGAGGGACCTGGGACAGCACTGATAAAACCCTTGGATCTATTGATCTTATCAATGATGGCAAATTTCATTGATTTTCTACTTAGCTATATTCATTGGGACCCAGGTGATCCAAGTAGTTTTCAAAGTTGAGTAAGAATTTGACACGTCAAATGAAAGAAAGGCATAGAAATGTTGGCTAACCAGCATTCATGAAGTCTGAAAGAAATAGTTGAGTAATGTGAAAAACCCATCACATTATTTTTATGGGCCAGGCACATGGTGTGAATGCAAGGCTTTCTGGCAGAGAGGACATCTGTCCTGGGCATGCCAGCTCCATCTACTCCAGTGTCTGGTTCTAGAGAATAGTGATTTTTGAGCCAAGCTGGGACCTGGGACTTGAGAACTTTTGCTGCAGTGATGACAGCTGGACAAACATCTCCTCCAGCAACAAAATACGAAGACACTCTAAGGGACTAAAAATAACTTCATGCATGTGCCACTGGGGCAAATTATGGACAATAAAATAGACCAAAAAACCCCAACTGCCACTTCTGAAGAGCTGGGAGCAAAACTAGGGTACTGCACATGCCTCCTGCACTCAACACCACCAAAGGGGTGGGTAAACCACCTAAGCCACCCACCCTCCTGGTCCAAACCCTGGACATACCCCTTCCCTTACCCCATATAAGGAACATGCTCTCCCCACCTTGGGGAGCCAACAAGGGCACCTGTCACTTGTTCTTTCTTCCTCCTGCTGCAGCAGGGGCCCCAATAAAGCCTTGCCTACATTTCCTATCTGGCCTCAGATTAATTTCTATTGACTGGGGAAGGCCAAGGACCCTGGTCAGTGTCAATCTGGCTATTCTATCACAAAAGATGGTAATGGTGAAAGAAGAAAGTGTTATGCGGAGGCTGGTGAACGGATCCATTCTCCAGGGGTGAATGATGGGAACTGAAATAACTTACTTGGGGGCATAAGGATCAAAAATGACATCAAAATCCTCGTCCAGCTCCACGGGGCTTCTTGGTAGAGTGGAGTCCACGCTACGGTAAAACTTGGCAAAGGTTTCATCATCGTCCGGCTTCATCACCTCTTTCACCGATTTCCCAGTGACAGTGAGGACTGTTTCTTGCATCCCACCAACTATCAACAAACAAGCAAATCAATGACCTGAGATGTATGTAAAAACATGACTTCAACTCTGCTTCACTATCTTAAAAATTATTTTCTTCCCACTAAGGTCCAGGAGTAGAGCAAACATGACAGTGCTGTCCCAGATTCTGTAGATGCTTCTTGGGCATCAGTTGTCTTCTCAGGAAAGGACTGTACAAAGCCTGCACTGGGAGTGGTAGGGAAATGGAGGCTGAAGTCACTGAGAATTTCTGAACCTGTTCTTTTTGCTCTTGGAGGCAGAACTAGCCTCAACTTTGTTCTAGATCAAGGTTTGGTAACAACTTTTTCTGCAAAGGGCCATGTAGTAAATATTTTAGGCTTTGCATGGGAGGCTATTTGACTTGCGTTGCAAGTTTCATGAAGCTGCGGCTATAGCACAAAATTAACTATTACCAATAAGCTAATGGATGGGCAAGACTGTGTTCCAATAAAACTTTATTTACAAATATAGGTGGGGAGCTAGGTGGTGCTGACCTCTGGGCTAGATACCTGTTACACACAGGTAATAAACCGTGAATTGTTTGTATTCTTTGCCTTGCCAGCTTGGTTATTATATGACACTTTTATATTTCTAGTTTAAAATGGTTGTTTGTATTATTTTCAGCCTATAGGGGTCACTGTCAATAGTAGGTGCTTAGTAATAGCTAAGCTTTAAGTACTGGACATTTTTCTTAAGAGATGAGGCACTTCTGCATGTTATTCTTTAGTTTTATATACTTCATAGACTTTTGTATTGAAATCTTTATTTATTCACTAGAATTTTCTTCTAGAAACTATTTGTGACAATCAGATATAATATATAACATGCACTTCTGCATGTTATTCTTTAATTTTATATACTTCATAGACTTTTGTATTGAAATCTTTATTTATTCACTAGAATTTTCTTCTAGAAACTATTTGTGACAATCAGATATAATAATAACATGCATTTCTGCACGTTATTCTTTAATTTTATATACTTCATAAGACTTTTGTATTGAACTCTTTATTTATTCACTAGAATTTTCTTCTAGAAACTATTTGTGACAATCAGCTACCTTTATGGAAAACGACATATACAACTCAAAGTTCATCAGATCATGTTGATTTCGTGTCATAATCTACTTTCAGGGTTAAAAGCAAAATTACTGAGTCTACAGTCCTGACTGGATACATCCCAAGAGTTTAGATCCAGGCACAGATGTGCTACTGGGAGCCACCCACTGAGTACATTATCAAGTGAATCAGAGCTTAGTACTCTAATCAGTGTTGACCGATAAATTAACTTTTAAAAATATAACATCAAAGAGAATGCTTAGAGTACACATTGGTCAAGTCATAATAGAAGACGATTTAGCTGAGGAGAAAAAGCAATCCATGTTGAGATTCAGAGATTCTGAAAGTGGGGTAGGTATTTTTAGGTTTCCCGAGCTACCCACTGAAACTTGAGCCACACTGGCCACACACACGTGAACCACAGCTTCCCTCTGGCTCCTGGCATGTACCTTTGTTGTTCAGCCTTCTTAGGAAGGTTTCCAGCCTGTCCAACTTGAGGTCCGACTCTAACTGCATGTCTGGTCTGGCTTCTATATCTGGGCAAGTAGAAAACACAGTGAGAGAAGCGCTGAGGGCTCTTCTGATCACAAACCTCTTGGCACATCAGGGCCTAGTGACTCACCTTCCAGAGGTTTGGAAACTGGTGTAGTGCCCCTTGTTTTGCTGCAAATAGGGGATGCTACCGGGGTGATGGCAGTGGGGGACGCCAGACCTGCAGGGAAAAGAAAAGAGCAACTGAGCATCTCAGGATCACGTCTGGGAATTCCCGGGACCCTGGGGGACTGCCACGAGCCCCAGTAGAGACCTAACAATTTATAGAGTTTACAGACAGACATGGGACACACACACTTACAGGAAAACTGCCCATAGAGGCAAGGTTTTATTGTTTCTAAGGCCTGCAGCAACTGTCAGTCTGCCATTCCACACTGAACAATGAAGACACATCCCTAACATTCAGATAGGATAAGAGAGTCCAGAAGGTGATTGGAATGTCCTTCAACAAAGGTAATGTTGACTTCTGAAGGCCTTTCGGGCACTGGAGGTAGCTGAAGAGAAAGTGTACAGTTGTCCTTTGGTATCTAACAAGGGACTGGTCCCAGGACCTCCTGTGGGTACCAACATCCATGTGGATGCTCAAGTCCCTTATATTAAATGGCATATTTGCATATAATCTATACACATCCTCCCATATCCTCTAAATCATCTCTACATGACTCCTAATACTGAAGACGATGTAAATGCTTTGTAAAGAGTTGGTGTAGCAAATTCAAGTTTTGCTTTTCTGGAATTTTATAGAATTAAAAAAAAATTTGTTTTTGATTGTGGTTGGTTGGATTTGTGGCTGCAGAACTCAAGAAGGTGGAGGGCCGGTTGTTTCTGTACCATCTCTCCAGAGGAAACAGAGACGCGGTTTGTCATGCTGGCCAGCAAGTTCCCCAGCCCTGGAGTCGTCCTCCAGGATGAGGGGGCGTGGGGACAGTCTGGCCTTTGGGGTGTCATCAGAGTGTGATCTACTGGGCAATTACCCAGAGAGTGCTAGGCTTTATAAGAAAGACACAAGAGTAACAGTTTACACATGTGCGGATGTTGGAAAGTCATTCTGGTCTTGGGTGTGGTTGGGAGCTAGGGACATGCTTTCACCTGCATCTTTTGAGGAGCTGGAAGGTCGGACTCTCTAAGTGGAGAAATGACAAGAGACACATAGAAAGGGAAGACAAACATTCTAGCATGAAGACGGCATCTGATCAGACAAGAAACCTGAATAAAGACATAGGTGAGTATTTTTTCCTAAACTTAGAAGGGATTTGCAAGGGGAGGAGGACAGGTAATCAGTACACTTACAAAGAACAAAATGAGATGTTAACATTCTCTGTATCTATTTGTATTAAAAATGAAACCATTAGGTGACATTGCTACATTATCGCATCCGAGAGACCACATCTGAGAACCACACCCGGAGAATGTGTAAGTCATGATCACTTACAGGGAAAAAACCACCAAGTGAATGGATCTGCTCCCCCCTTCTGCGAGTTGGAGAGGGAGATGTTACACCAGAAAACTTGAAAGGAAAAATACTGAAATGCAGTTTGCAACTGAAATTTTAGGTGACATTCCAGAAGCTTCTCTGGTAGCTCAGACGGTTAAAAAGTCTGCCTGCAATGCAGGAGAACCATTGGGTTGGGAAGATCCCCTGGAGAAGGGAATGGCTACCCACTCCAGCATTCTTGCCTGGGGAATCCCATGGACAGAGGAGCCTAGAGGGCTGCAGTCCATGGGGTTGCAAAGAGTCAGACATGACTGAGCGACTAACACTTTCCAGAAGTACTTCTCAGCGTGTACATATACTTCCTTACTGATGTCAATAACATTTTAAAAAATTCTTTCATTACAAGACCTGCAAAGAGTTTATATCTGAGTGAAAGTCAATTTTCTTGAAAGATATTAAAAAACAAGTAAAATTTGGTATCAAAGGCTGGGACAGCAGCTCATTACCTGCTAAAAGGATGTGTAAGAGACAGGGGGACATAACATCCGCACAGAGGTTATTCACTCGGAAGCCAAACAGGCTTGACAGCAGCCCTTTGTCCAGTTAGGGTGCCCCCTGCTGCCCGTTCAGGCAGCTGCACCCGTGAGCTCTTAAAGGTGCACCCGCTCCTTCCAGCTAGAGACAGGGTTTGTCTATGATGGGGGCAGGCATATAGATTTAAGTTCCACATTGTTAACTCACTCCGCATAGCTCTGTTCAATGAATTTTATGGACAATAACCAGTCACCTGGTCTCTTCGAGAACATTTTACATCATTTAAAAATCGTTTTTATTTAATTTCTTGCCTGTACTGCACAGCATGTGGGATCTTAGTTCCCTGACCAGAAGTAAAGCCCGTGCCTGCCCCCCCCCTCCCCCCCAAATCCTGCATTGGAAGCACAGAGTCCTAACCACTGAATTGCCAGGGAAGCCCTTTAGCTCTCTCTTCTTCAAAGGTGTGCTCTGAATATCCTCCTTCCAGGAGAAATCTAGAATACCACAGAAATCTATGGAGTACTCACTGATCTGTGGACTCTACAAATATGAAAAGGGGGACAGCCCCAATGAGGTGAGGGGGAGAAAACAGCTTCTGGGTGAGAGAATGAAAATCATGCTACAGAGGCCTCTTGGCCACTCACTACTACACTGGCACCTGATGAGACAGCAAGTCTTGGCTGCAGTGTGGGGACAGTTTCATTCTTGGGCGAGTGTAGTAAACTGGATGTTCCACCACTGCAAATCCCAAAGAGCCAATGACTCAGGGAAACACATGACTGTGCAGGTGATAACAAACCACAGAAAGGCAGGGAACAGCTTTTTCACTAGATTGAAAGTACAAAAAGTTATTTCTTGAGCAGAGTCATAAAGTACCTGTTAAACAGAAATCCCTGACTTATCCAGGAACATGTGAAGGGAAACTCAGCCACTAAGGTGGGAGGAATGTCCCTGATTCTGTTCTCCATAACTGCCCAAGAGCAAGGCTACTTCCTCTGATATCCCCATGGGCAAGGACAGTAGTATCTGGTGGTAAGGACCAGGCTTCAAATACATTATGATTTTTAAGATGAAAGACAAAAAATGGAACCCAAGTAAAAGGTCATCAGGATAAAAGTCTGGGCTAGAAGTTGGAAGATCTGAGCTATGGTTCAAGTTCTCATTGTAGGCCTGAAGAATCTGCTTTTGTTAACATACGGATGGGGGTCATGCAAAGGAGATAGTTCTGTGACTTGGTGACAAAAATCCTCAAATGCTACCTCATTCTGAGAGTAAATAACCTTCTGTTATCCTTTGATAATTCCAAGATTGTTGTTGTTGTTTAGTTGCTAAGTCATGTCCGACTCTTTTGTGACCCCATGGACTGTGCCCCTCGGACTCCTCTGTCCATGGGATTTTCCAGGCAAGAATACTGGAATGGGTTGCCATTTCCTTCTTCAGGGGATCTTCCCAACCCAGGGACTGAGCCCATGTTTCCTGCATCGGTAGGAGGATTCTTTACCACCGAGCCACCAAGGCTTCCCTAAGTTCCAAGATTAGTTAAGAATAAATTTGTTAGAAAGGATTCTTCCACAAATATTTGGGTTAATCTCAGTTCAAGAGTTTCCTCTCCCTCCCTTCCTTCCCTCTGCAAATACTTATCCCGAGCCTACAATGAAGTAGGCTCTATCTATGACTGAGGATCCCAAAAGGTATTGAGAAAAGAAAACTGCAAACCTACGAAGCAGATGACAATATAAGTTAATTTATTGATTGAGAAAACCTTCACCACTAAGCTGAGAAATTTACTCAAACAATAGCTTAGAAAATGAAGGTATGTGCTTGCATGTGACAAAGGGACCCCAGATTTTAACCACTTCCTATAGGCTATGGAGCTGCAGAGCTTTCTGACAACTTGACGAACCATGTGATTCGTCAGTTTCACAAATCTTTGGCTTCCCACTGAAAATCAGTTTCAAGAGTTCAGCTGCAAAAAATGACCTGTCTTCAGGGAAATCTCACTTTCCTGGAAATGGATACATCTTTTAGACATCCAATAAAACATCTCTGGAAACAGGGCTTTGTAGCCAGGGAACTCTGGGTTGATGGAAAGAGACCTGGGAATTACCCTAAAAGGAAGAAGACAAACTTCTGCACTGAGAAAGGCTTATTTGAGTGAACTGATTGCCAGATGGCAAGAAAATGGAAATAACTTTCAAGTGATTACAGGAAAGGACCAGAAGTCTGATAGCAGATCTGCAAAACTGCTTTGATACCTGGGCATTTCCAAATGACTCTTTTGAAATGTCACTAACTGAATCATGCGTCACATTGAAGACGATGCTGTCGTAGGGCAAGATTTTCAGTTGGAGTATCTCATAAAATGTGTACACAACTTCAGTTAAGAGTGAAAACCAGAAAAGACCAAGGCTTGGTTTTTTAAAGTGAGCCATCCTACGCCACCCTCCCCTCCGTGGGTGATGGAGCTCACACACAGGTCCACACACGCACACACACACATACACACTCTGACCTCGCTTCACCATCCTGCCAGCCACGGTGAACTGGGTGGAGTCGTTGGCTGCTCCTTTGCCCCTGGTCTTCCAGGCGTCCTCTCTCACGGTGATGAGATGCTTTCTCTCTTCAATAGTCATCTGGCTCTCTCGACTTTCTGTGACCCGCTGTTTGAAGCGTGTACCAGGGAGAAAACGGGAGAGGAAGTCACAGAGGCGTGAACATTAGCAGGGAGCATTTCATGAGCTGGAAAGCAAAGAGGAGTCCTGCGCGCGCTGTCCCCTAATGTCCCAGCTGTTCTACCCGAAATAGGTCTGGCTTCCTTATGTCCAGCTTGGGTTACAGACCACCACCACCAACCCTGGAACTTCAGGTTAGAACCTGGTTTTTCACTTGTTTGTTTGGAACACAAGAATATAAAAATGATATTTTGCAAAAAGAAACAGAGAGAGACTGTCTTCCTGCCATGAATCTTACAGTTTTCAAGTTGCTCTGTTTCACTTATCTAAACTCAGTTGACTAGCAATCTTTGTTCATCATGCTCAAAGAACACAGTTGGTTGAGAAAATCTTACCTACTAAAGATTTTTATCTACACGGCCAACCATAAAGTAGGGAAAGCTGATTAGGAGGAAGGTGTGTTATTAGAAGGTTTTCTGGAACTCGTGTGCTTTTTCCTACAGCAACTATTGTATATGGGCAGTTAGGCAACCAGGTTAAGCCCACAAAGATGACTTTTAAGTCACAGAATATATGATATTGAGGCTGAACTGTGCTATAGACATAACCTACCTGTATAATAACATTTCTATGTAAAAAAGGTTTACAAATATTTCTCATTGGGGTTCTGGAGACAGTTGCCTCTTTAATGTCTAAGCTCTTGGTGACATTATTTGGTCTTATTTGATCTAAAAGGCAGAAGCTGGAGGATTCTCGAGGGGGACTGAGGAGGATGGGGATGGGCAGGAAGGAGGCTTCAGGAGATGAGTGGTTCTCAGGCTGACAACTGGGGAAGGTCCTCCAGTGTTGGCCCGAGAGTTTCTTTTCCCTCCTTCTTTGCCCATCCCTCCTTTCATGACAAAATCCCTCTAGGGATGGGGGCAGGGCACAGGCAGGGAGACAGGGCGGGGGAGGGGAGCACAGGGTGGGGTGTTGGGAGGGAAGCTGCCATGGGAGCCAACGTTAAGGAAAGAAAAGCATCGCCAAGGAGCAGAAAGCGCTTCTGCCTCCAGGTCCTTCCTAGGAAAGAGGTCCGAAGGATGGTGATGACCCCCGTTTGTGCTTGCGCTTTAACGTCAGTATCTTCTGAGACCCGAGGAGGCCCTTTCTGCTGGAGCATCTGCTTTCAAACCACAGGTGAGCTCTCCTTAACTACTCCGTGGTCTCCCCAAGCTCCTCTTCCCGTGTAAGGAGTTCTTTCTTAGATAAGAAGTCATCATAGACCAAAATGATCCTCAGGTTTTCCACAGACACAGTGGGAAGACCAAGGAGCCCTGAGGCGGAAATACATCCCCGGGGACTCCATGATACTTTTATTCTCCACTGCTGTCCATTCCACTACGGCAAATTAGCTTCCCTTAACTGACCAATAGGAAACAACCTCCAGATTCACTCAGGAAGGTGACAGAGGTCAGCATCCTTAATCTTTTTAAGGCCCTGGGAGGATGGAGAGATGCAGGGTAATGGGGCGGGGGCGTGGGGAGGCGCTCCTTCCTTTCCAGCCACATAAAAACCAAGTCTGCACTGGTAAGATTCAGTTTAAGCCATGGACATGGGTTTCTCTATCACAGAACATATACATCTTCCTTTTACAGAACTCTCCTACAGAGCAGTCACAGTCAGGACTGATTTTGAGATCACTGGCAATTAAACTAGGTTAAAAACCATCTCCTAAAGAGACATGGTGACTAAATGTAATATATCATACTGATTGGATCTTTGATGGGATGGAGTGGGGGCTAAAAAGGATATTATTGGGGGGAAATGAACACAGTTGGGATATAGTCTATGGATTAGATAAACAATGTATCAATATAAAATTTCCTCCTCTTGAGGTTATGGGAGTGTTCTACAGTCTAAGGTTCTGTGTCCCCTGTTCCCCACCAGTTCACATGTGAAACCTAATCCCTAATGTGATACATTAGGAGGTGGGGTTTGGGAAGTGATTAGGTCATGAGGCTAGAGCCCTCAAGAATGAGATTAGTGCCCTGATAAAAGAGGCCCCAGAGAGCTCCCTCACCCCTCAGCTACATGAGGACACAGTGAGCAGACAGTGGTCTAAGAACCAGGAAGTGGACCCTCACCAGACACTGAATCTGCCAGCACCTTGACCTTGGACTTCTTACCCTCCAGAACTGAGAGAAATAAATTTCTCTTGTTTATAAGTTACCCAGTTTATGGCCCAATCAATCAATCAATCATTCAATCCAGGAGAAAAGGGTGAAGGGGGACATTGGCAGTGGGGATGGGGGATGAGAGGGGGTAGGGGAGGGAACAAATGCCAACAATTGGTGGGTCTGTTCAAGGGTATAGGAGAGTATCCTTGCTATTATGAGAACATTTATAAAAGTTTTAAGTTTTATCAAGATAAAAAATGATCAAATTAAAAACCCTTTTCCTTAACTTTCCTACTCGTGATTGGTAACCTGACCCTGGTTCCAAGTAATTCTCTTAATCACACGCTCTCATAAACTATGAGATGGACTTACTAGGAAAACCTCATCAAAATTTGAAAAAGAGGATAAGTTTTCTTGAAAAATGAAGTTTCAGGAGTGAATTTTAATCAAATCAATATGACACTTGCCTTAGAATATTTTTAAAAAATATATAAAATGCCAAGAAAGTTTTCTTTTCCAAACACCCAGACTTTACCATTTATATGGTGAACTGAGTAGAATCTCCCAAGTCCTGGGTGTGGTGGGAGGGGTGGTTATGACTCAGAAAAACAGTGTCCCCAAATAAGCAATTCCATTTCGGATTCTCCTGCAGCTCCTGGGAGAAGGTGATGGATGTGGGCCCTGGGATACACAGATATTCCAGGATTTAAAGTGTCTAGAAGTTTGCCAGATCTATGTTAGGGAGCATGCTTTTCATGTGCCTCTAGATGATATTACTGAACATAAAAGTTTTTGCTTCTCTAGAAGTTTCAACTTTGCCACTTAGAAGGGTTGCTCAAAAGCCCCCTAACTCCCCTTATCTGACCTTAAATGGCTCTATAATGTAACAATAAGTATATATACACACACACATATATGTATGTATATATGATATATATACCTTATATCTAATATATATATCTTATCATATATATATGAGGTATATGCATATGGTTTATTTATTCACTTTAGAAATGAATAAAATGTATCACAAGTTGCTATTAAATTTTAGAACTCAAAATGTGTAAACAGATAACATGGACCTCTTTCTCCATGTACTTTTTTTTAGCTTAAGACATCATGATTCTCTTATCTTGCTTTTCCCTTCAAAATTTTTTTCCCCTCGTTTAGAGAAGGGCATAATTCATAGTAGAGTAAGCACTGTGTCATTTTTCAGGTTTTTCTACTGATGAGATTTAGGATTTGCTGGAAGAGTCAGGGAGTTGGGGCAGAACAGGAATAGAAGCCCTACCCCTTCTAGCTTTTATTCTTTCAAATATGGATCTCATGAGCACGGTACATAAAGAGAAGGGGTAGGGGGCGGGAAGAGGGGGCAGGTAGGGAATGTAGTGAAACAGCTAGGAAGAAAGTTGGGTCTTAGGGATGAACAGAGACTTGGTAGGAAACTGTGCAAAGGGTTAATAGAGAACGTTTTCAGGTTACCATGTTGTTACTTATGGATTTGTCTCCGTACTCCTCAGAAATCACAGTGCAGATTTCATTAAGTGTTTCTGACACAGGAGGTGATACACGAGAGAGAGAAATAATGTGTGACTAGGATTAGTGTAGCTCTAAGGGTAACCCACTCCAGGATTCTTGCCTGGAGAATCCCATGGACGGAGGAGCCTGGTGGGCTACATTAGTCCATGGGGTCGCAAAGAGTCGGACACAACTGAGAGACTTCACTTTTCACTTTAAGGGTAAGATTCTTCTACTAGTGGAAAGCTTTGTAGATAGAAAATATTGTGATCTGGCTTTTAAATTTTTATCTTACTCACCTTGAGTGAAACTACATCACAGGAAGAAAGCATAAAAGCATGTGTTTAGTGAAAGAAATAACGTACAGCAACAAATCAGCATCCTCAATTTTCAAAAATGCTGTCACCTTTCAAATCCTATGCACTGTTAAGGAAATTCAGCTTTGCCACCTCCTTAAATGATTTCTATCCATCACCAGGGCCCGGAGCCTCAAGTGGCCTGGACAAAACATGGGAAAAGATCTCAACTAGGTTTGCATTTCAAAGTGACCATAATTTGGTCTTGTCACCATTTACAAGCAACTAAGATGAAAGGAGGGGTCCCAGGGGGCTCAGTGGTAAAGAATCTGCCTGGCAAGCAGGAGATGCAGGTTCGATCCCTGAGTTGGGAAGATCCCCTGGAGAAGGAAATGGCAACCCATTCCAGTATTCTTTCTGGGAGAATCCCATGGACAGAGGAGCCTGGCAGATTACAGTCCATGCAGTTGCAAACAGTTGGACATGATTTAGCAACTAGAGAACAACAACAAGATGGAAGGAAGGGAACGAAGGGAAATCTTACTTTGCTATAGCCCTGAGGCAAGCGGAGGAAGAAGAAAACATGTCAAGACACTTTTACACGACTATTAGAACGGCCAAAATTCAAACCATTGATGCCACCAAATGCTGGTGAGGATGTGGGGCAATAGGAACACTTATTCATTGCTGGTAGGAATGCAAAATGGTCCAGCCACTTTCAAAGATAGTTTGGCACTTCCTTACAAAACCAAGCTTACTCTTACCATATAATTCAGCAATCATGCTCTTTGATATCCAAACAAGTTGAAAAATTATGTCCACACAAAAACCTGCAATGGATGTTTATAACAGCTTTACTTGTAATTGCCAAAAGCTTGGAAGCAACCAAGATGACCTTCAGTAAGCAAATGGATAAATAAACTGATCCAGCCAGACAAGGACTACTATTCAGTGGTAAAAAGAAATGAGCTATCAAGCCATGAAAATACACAGGGGAACCTTAAATGCATATTACTGA